CACACGTGTGACATACACATACATGCATACGGGGGGGGGATTATTACTACCTTGGCCATTCCACGTCAGTAAAAATATAATTAACTATTACTCTGCTGACAGGGCCTCACTACTCTATAATGCACTGCAGCAGTTACTCTGCACTGACGGTTCTCAAAAGAGAGCTATAAATGTTCACTCAGACCAATAAAGGTATGACTGAGTACTATTCACTAGAACCTCTGATGTACGATACCACAAATGGTAGTACGACAGTGAACATTTCTGAAGTCGGCTACACCGTTTCGTATGAGGCGTTTTAGAAAATGTGAACAGAGACACGTCATCAAACAAACAGGTGTTGGACACGGAGGACAACTTCTTCATCACCCTACTTAAACCCGTGTAGATTTTCCACTGACAATAGACAGAAACAACAATGGAAACTTGACTACGTTACAGTTGTCTCTTCTAAAGTCGACTCTGGTTTGTGTCTCTCACACACACACACACGGGGCAAAAAAGACTCTATAAATACACCTGCTTATAGATGCATATAGCTGCGTTGACATGGTATGTGTAACATTGACCTCATCCTGGTATTGTCTTACATGAAGCCTTGAGCACTGCAGCAGCAGCAGCAGGTCTGAACGTGATATGACTGCTCAAGCACGGACACTGGGTTCCAGTGGCTCCAGAATTACACAGCAAAAAAACATTTGTCTAGAACCCGTCCACACAGAGAAGAAAACAATGATCAGGCAGCTGGTGAAGGGCATGTGCAAGGCCATACTGTGAAAAAAAAACAATTTGTCATGTTTGTTGTTGTTAACCCTCTTATGTAGTTTATGAAGACAGTGATGCTGTGTTGTTTTCACAGCCAGCGTGCTACGCTAGCTTCTCTTGAGCTGTGAAGTACATTAGCAAAGCATTTGAAATTTGGTATAGTGTACATGAAGTGCATTTGATGTTCTGTATGAAGAATGTGTAGTACATTTCTAATTTACATCTCCAATCATTGCAGGTCAAAAGATGTTTGTTTATGTTGTTTGTAGGTTTGGGTGTAATCATCCATCAACATCCATCCAAATATTTTCTACCATTTACAATCCTGGGCTGTAATATGATATTTAAGGAAAGGAAATCTAAGGTTGAGAGTCCTAATAAAAACGAAGGCAGTCATGCTTACCTTCAGCTGTGATTTATCAAAGGAAGAAATCTTATTATATAGTGACCTACTTATGATTGCACAACTACTTGGCAACCATGTGAGTTTTCATTGAAACAGCACATAAATCACCGACAAGTGATCAGACAAAAACCACTAACCTGCAGGTGTGAAAGCACCTCAATAAAGACGCTCTGCCTTCATCTGAGTCTCATTAGTTACACCTAAAATAACCCGACCTACATAGAAGTGGCTGAAAACAAACACGGGGCGGTCATTAAATGTCAGTTTTCCATCCAATCTCAGCGGAGGAGCTGTTTTCATAAAGGAAGCAGCCGTCTCCTCTCTGTTCATGAATACTAAATGAACAGCAGACTGCAGAGCTGTCAAACGGTTTGGACAGCGGAAACTGCTGCAATCAGGTGGACTCCACACAATATGACCCGTTAGGTTCAACATGAGGGACGCTGGAGAAAACAGCTACTCTGTCACTTCATACACTGTGAATTAAACACATGTAGGAAACAAGGCTTTTATTCTACATGAATTATTAAAAGTGGTTCTCGCTCAGTTTCCTGCACGCCTGGCTGGAGTGGAATGAATGTTTCTGTATCCATACTGTTGTGATGTCTGTACTCACTCCATGTGGGTGTTTCAGGTTAATTTCATTCCTACGGCCTAATCATTATCAGGGTTACGAGGAGAGCCACAGCCAATCCCAGAAGTCCACGGGCGAGGGCAGGAAACACCCTGGACAGTTGATGTCAACTCCAAAACAGAAAGACCAGGACTTGAACCGCTGCTCATTTTTTGGACTACTGGAGCTGTCAGGACAGGTATTCAGTCGTGCCACTTACATCAACAGCTAAATAAAAGATCACAGTTTGCAAAATAAAATGACATGGCAGATGTTGGACTGTGTTTAAACTAAAACAGCACCGTGGGGACAAACATGTCAATTCATCTAAAAATGGCCGCAAGCATTCATTTCACCCCAGCTTTCCCACAACAACGCACCTGTAATGATTTCAGAGGAGTGTAAAATAGGAGGAGGAGGAAGAGGGTGGGTCTCCTTTTGAAGTGTTTAGGATAGTGGACAGAGACTTGAGGGTCTGTTGTGGTCTGGCTGAGGCCGTGGGGGCCTGTTTGAACATGTCGCTGAGTCTATGTTTGTTACTGTCCTTTAGCTTCACTGTAACTGACATCCTTTCCTTTTACCAATCAAAGGCGGCCACAGCTGATCACCTGCCGTCAACTCACAATGTACCTCACCAAGTCTACCGTCATGATGAGTCCAGAACACTTTGATTTAAGGTCTCAAAGACAGGAAATGGTCTTAGGACAATTTAGATGGACACATACCTTCAAGCTCAAACCTACATCTCCAACTTCCTTTGTCCAGGACATCGAAACCATGTCTTCACACCCCCACTCGTTCTAAACCATGCCATCCTCAGCTCTAAAGTGACTGCAGTGAGACTGTACTCTGACAGACATCGGTATCAGGTAAAGTACCGAAAAGTTCCCAACAACTACAAAGAATTGAAGGAAAATCCGTCATTGTGTTATATTTTTAAATGTTTTGATACATGGTGCAACAGTAGTGAAGCTGTTCCTGCACGAAGCTAAAAGGTCACTTGTTTGCATCAAGGCTTAGGCAAATTGCCTTTTAGCGTGAAGTTTGCATGCTGTCTGTGTGTCTATGGAGGAGGGGTCTTCACATCAGCACATGAACCAAGTCAGTTTAGGCCAGTACTTCTCAAATAGTGGGGCTTCCAATGGAATATGGCAAGCTGGACATAAGTGTCCCTCTGCTGTAATGCTTGAATAATAACAATCCTCCAGTCACTAGGTGGCAGCAACTCATATAGTGGTTTGTACAGATAAAAATATAGACATTATCAGGTTCTCAATAGCATTCCTGTTCCCTGGGTTGTGGGTCAGACTGGGGGGGGGTTAATCGGCTGATGACATATGGATAATGAAAATACAGACAGAGGGCAGTGTCCAAACAAGTAAACAAAAGCCCAAGGTATCTCCACTGACCCCTAAAATGACATAAGGGATTTGATTTGCATGATTCTATATTTTTGTTTACTCCATCTCTGAGAGAAGAGCTCAACAAATTAAGGTCCCCACCTTGTGGCAGTTAAAAGCGAATCACTAGGAGCAGAAAGCATCTACTGCGGGTGTCTTAATAAATCCGATTTTCGATGAGGATATTTAATCGCGATAAACTACAGAATTGTTTATATACTGTATATCGTTAAATCAGTGAGCAGTGTGCGTCATCAAGTTCTGATGCTGCTGCTGCTGCTGCTGCACTGGACCCATGTGGACTCCTGCATACCTACAGCAGGCAGCATCTGTAACTGCACATTTACGCACATTATGTAAGAAAGCAGCATGACATTCATCTGAGGCAGCAGCAGCAGCGGCAGCAGCAATAGGGTGACGGGCCAGAGAGCCTGGAGCTGCTCTGCTCATGTCCATTTAACATCCTGACAGTGAGAGTGAGCGGAGAAGCGGAGGAGAACAGGAGGCTGCAGCTGATGCACTGACAGTGAGAAGGACAGAGAGAAGGAGGAGGTGGTGGAGGAGGAGGAGGAGAAATCGGAGGTTTGACATTCCCCGCTCTACTACGCTCCTATCCGCGTTACTGACAGCCGAACCTTCCGGGCTGTGTTTATAGACTGAGGGGTTATGGTCTTACCTCCACCGCGGTGCCTCTCCGGTTCTCTGCTCCGTTAACCTTCCCGCTGTCGTTGTGACGAGGAAGCGCAGGGCAGCCGTGCGCCTCCGGTCCAAAAAGTCGCGCTGGTCTAAGCGCAGGAAAACGCCGTCGTGCATAAACAGTCGTCACTACGTATCCTCCGGGCTGCTGCGACTGATAAACCGCTGCAGATATGATCCAGGTTCTGCTGCGTGTCTCCTTCCACCGCTCCTGGACGTCGTAGTCCTGCTGGCAGCAGCTCCTGTTTTGAGTTCTCCCGTCACGTCGCCCTCCTCCCACTGCTCCTCTCTCTTTCTCTCTCCCCCTCTCTCTCTCTCTCTCTCTCCCACCGACTAAAAACGGCTGCACCGTGCGTGCACTCGCGCCGCGCGTCCACGTCGGCCGTATAGGGTGGGTGCGTGGTTGTTGGGAGGTGGGATCCGCTCGCTAAGCTGAGGATGGTTCCGTGGGTGGGTGGGATCCAAGAAGACCCGGGGCACAGAGGCTGCTTTCAAGTGACGGAGCCGCAAATTGTTTAATGTGGATTTCAATTTGGCTCTGATGACGTGCACTGTCACTCAGCACATGACTGACATGAGTGAGGGGTGTGGCCACGGGTGGAGAACGCCCCCCTCCCAACGCAACAGAGAAAGAGAAGAAGCGCTGTGTCCATTTGAGCTATAACTATTAAACCTCTACCGTTGACACAAAAGGGTATGAGAGGCAGGAATATCATTTTAAAATAAACCATAAATAAATAGTTACCGACCCAGGTATTTAACCAACATCACATCTGCGCTGACGCTGTTTCCTTTTATCCTCTCATTTACCCTTTGTTTGGATGCTGCAGGGTGGAGCGGTGGTTAGTGCTCTTGCCTTATAGGAACCACAGGTTTACTGGTTTGATTTCCTGTCTTTTTTGTAAGCCCTAGCCTAGGCATTTTATCTTGTTATCAAAGTAGCCCTGGTTTGAACTGTCTGAATGTCTGAATGTGTACATATGTAGCCCTGTGTGTGTCCAACGAGGTCATGTACGATGATGTATGTGTGTGTGTGTAAAACAGACAGAATGTGTGTTTTGATGTTTTCTGCCATTTCATCTGCTTCAAGGGAACGTTCACTGTGGAACTGGATTCTTACTTTTCTCGATCTCGTTCTTTCACGGCGAGCTCCTCCATCGGTAAACCACACGTTTCCTTGATGTTTTCCTTGATGATGCTGTTTCCTGGCACTGTTCCCATGTGGATCTACTTTGCGGGGGGCGGGGAGGGGGTGTTGCTTCTTAATACATGACCTATAAAAAAAGAAAAAAAAGTTGTTTTTTCCTCTACAAGTTCAGCAGTCTGTGTTCAATGAACTTCTACATTAGTTTTCTTTACCACCCAGCGTATATGGTCAATACTTCGACAACATTTACTCATCAAAAATAGTAGCGTGCGTGTGTGTGTGTGTTAGGTCGCCCTCCTTTTGTCAGAACTGATTTGGCAGTGTAAAGGTCAGTCATTTCTGTTATCTCCATGAGAGGGAGACAGTGAAACATAACACACAGTGAATCTAATTAGGGGAGATTTAGCATCAGATCTCAGATGAACTGCCCCAGGGCTGCGTTCTCCTGACAGATAATACCTCTGCTGGCCGGGGGATCGCACTCCATACCTGCTCTCACACGGCGTGTGAGAGAAGAAATAGATCACACACACTCCTGTGGCTGGTTTGAAAACATCCCACCTGTTTTCCCCGGGATCATTTTCCATCCTGGTGACATATTTACCATCCAGACATTTTGAAAAGGAAATCCTCCCTTTGGCCCTGAAAGTAGGAATTCAACTCTGTGTGCAGGGGCCTTCGGCGAGCACATTCACGCCAGCGCTGGTGTCCAAAGTGACAGGGACTTCACATGAAACGACACAGACGGTAGCTGAGGGCAAAGAGAGGCTGAAGGAGACAATAGGCAGGAGAGGATGGAATCCTTCTGTCAGGCAGAAAGAAAAAAAACACAGATCAGATTTAAAAAGAGAGCAGAGCAGAGGAATTCCTTCATAATATCACTGAAACATTTGTAGAATGTTTTAAAATGACTCACTACTCGCAACCAGAATATAAAACAATGGTGTTACAGGTGCATTTTATCACTTTAAAATATATGTTGTTTAACATGACTTTTGTCTTTTTTTCAGTTTTACTGTTTTGTTTTTTGTAAGCAATTTTCTTTAAAAAATTAGCCTCTAATGGCTAATTCTAAGCTATCACTTGGTTGACCTTTAACTAGTTTTAATCATTTATTACTTTTTACCATTTTTGATAGACTTTTAACTATTTCTTAGCTACCCCTTATCGTTGCATCTGAAATGTTTTGATACTTATGACTAACTTTTAGCTTATGTTTTAGTTACGTTGTCAAGAGCCTCTGATTTTTGATTGACTTACCAACATATCTGACATAATGGCTGTTTAAGGCTAACTTTTAACTTTTAGCCTACACTTAGTTTTTTTAACATAACAAATTAGACATTTTCTATTTATGTTTAAACAAAAGGAAAAGGTACAGTTTGATAAAAACCTAGGGTTAGAATTGTAAACATCCTTTGTCACGTCACTTCTTTATTGAATTCTTGTTTAGTAGTAGGTATCTATAACTGCCTTAACTGTCAACTGTGCACATTTTTTAAAATTAACAATCCATCATTTCATTTCAAGTGTGAGGCAGGCATCGCACTGCATGACTCTACATTAACTGCACTATGACATTTCTCTCTCAGTGTCTCTGCTGCTTTTCTATGACATCATGATAGCACAGATACCAAACGTGTTTCTTTCTCTCTGCAAGTCTGAGAAAGTGGTAAAAACTCACACCCACCTACAATGAAACAGTCTGGAATGAGTCTCTGTTTCCAGACATGGTTTCCTGAATCTGCCACTGTTTCAAAATCCCTGTGTCTGTGACCTGGAAAAACAATAGATTTTATTTAGTTGTCTGTTTTTTTCGTTTTTTTTTTTTTTACTTGCATACCCTGGTAGAAAAAAAACCCTGACTTGATCATTTCCCTGATTTAACCTGGATACAGGACATGAGGCTGGTCATGCTGTGTACATTTAAAGTGCGTTCAAAACAACTACTGCAACATATAAGCAGCCTGTTTTCCTAATGTTCACGAACACCACCTTCTAAAAAGTAGTTTCCTCATCCTGCTGCTGCATTGAATGCAAACTGAATATTTTCTGCTCTCTCCCTTTTTTCCTCCAGTTATTTTTTTTATCTTAAATTCTTTTTTCCTCCAGTTATTTTTTTCATCTTAAATTTCTCAGCCTCCTGTCTTTTACACATAACCAGTGTGTGTAAACTCTGTACTGTGTAAATCCTGATTGTTTTATCCACTACAGTGCCCCACTGACCCATAGCCCAGATTTACTACTGAACTATGAGCAAAGTATTCAGGCATTTATCGCAGTCAGTAATTAAATTGACAGTACGTGTGTGTGTGTGTGTGTGTGAGCTGCAGCAGATTGTCTCTGTCTCAGTATTTCACCTGAGCTCCCAGTCTTTTGCCATTGCAGTAATGCTTTATAGGCACTATAAAAAATCTCCTTGGCAGAGGCTTCTATCAGGATTACAACAGCACACGGTCTTTCAGTGACACCAAACAACAAGAGGCCACTGGACAGAGTGAAGTCCACATTTATCATCCAACAAAAAGACCTCTATATCAAAGCAATTAGGTTGAATTTTCACCTGTATGTTAACGTTAATCTGAATTCTGTCTGTTCTTAAACTGGGTATTGAAATACGATTATGAAAATCCGATGAGTCAGAGATCAGTGTCTCTGCATGAGATTACAAAGCTTACATCACCTGGGATGTCTCAAGAGAACGTTAAAAAAAACAGGTTATCAGCACCTGACTGAAGTTTCTGAGTGAATATTTAGGAGGTGTTCATCATTTTTTACTGTGGGACAAGTTTGGTTTGATGATACAACTGGGGCCCATCTGGCGCTCTGGTGATACTGAGGTACATCTGTATCTTCCAAATACAAAGCCTGGTAACGCACACGTGATGTGGTGGACTAAGTGTCTTGAGATTGGGCAACTCTGGAAAGTTTTTGCTCCAGCAGGGCATCATCATGCAGCGGGATACATGTTTTTGATTCTGCTCCACAGTCTCAAATTATAGTGTGTAGAGAAAACAATGTGAAACCTGTGTTGGAGTCACTAAAAATACAAATATGTTAAATGAGATCTAAACTCGGTCCAGGAGACACAGTGAGAGCCGGTTTCAGAGGAGACACTGAGGCCAACAAAATAAACCTTCACACCCTACTCTCCTCCTGGTCTCTGAGTAAACATCTTCACAGTGTGGTGTTACTGGTTGTTGATGAGGTGTCACAGCTGCTTTCCTGCCTCCAATCCTCAGGCAACAATGTGGGGATGTGATGATTGTTGATGATGGTAAGGTGAGCTGCCAGGCTTTGGTTGGTTTGGGCTGCAGTCCTGAGTGGAGAACCGCAGAAAACAGTTAAGCAATGCTGAAATGCTACATCACAATAAGACTGGTTTGTGCATATTTATCCCATTTTCCTATTTTATCAACTTATCTGGATAGATTACTCAATACTGGTTATTTATACAACAAAGGAACAGGCAGTGAATCAGACATTCAGTCCATATTCCTAACTTTAACGGAATTTCCGTTTGAGAGTAAAATAAAATTAGTAAAATGAGCGCAGGGTTCTGTGAAGGGATGTCCTGTGTGTAATTAATCACTTGTCGTCTTTAGATTAGATTAAATTAGATCGAATTAGATTAGATAAATCACCATTTCCGCAGTTCACCTGCTTCATACTCTATCACAGTCTATCCAAGCAGGATGCTTAAAAAAAACAGTAGTATGGCTCTACCTAGTGGTCAAAATGGGCTATACAAAGAACATGTAGGCTTCCTTTACTTTTGCAAGCAGTCATCACGCAGTCCTCAACGATTTCATTTTTTTTTTTAAAGTGATAGTTTTATACAAAATTATATAACCTGTCCACTGAATATACATTGCAAACAAGTTTAATATTATCTGATAGTTGTATGTAACGTTTTCAATACGTAGTACTTACATACAAATTGAAGAACTTATCATGACGGTTAGTTACATAATATTAATTAAATATCACTTTTTAATGCATACAGAGTTTGTATGGTCAATGGTTTCTAAATAAAAATCCTTAACACGAACGTGTAGTGTTTAATCTCTCCGAATACACTTTTTTACTATTTTACATCCTATATATTTTATAAATAATACGTTCAGCAAGCTAAACGCGAATCTTTTCGACGCTTAATTATTCTTGTACATTACCTTAATTTTTCAGCTTATATAAACATAGCCGTTTTGTAAGCACATTATACAATACTACCACACGATTTAGGACCAAAAAAGTAGGGCGAGTGTTGATGACGTCATAAACACGCTTCCGTCATCGTCAAGCGCCTTACAGTCAGCTTTTTTTGAACGGTAGGCTCATTGCGTTTGCTGTTAATAACAAAGTAATCTGAAATTACTTGTCTAAAACGGAAAGGTATACATATATATATATATATTAGGGTTACGTATTTACGTATTTATTTACAAAAAACTAATGTGTGTTCGGAAGTGAGGTGGTATATTGAATTAAAGAACGCCATTTCAGCTAGCATGATTTGTGCAACAATAGTTATATTAATATCTCTGTATTTAAGTAAACATTAAACTTCGTTCAGGCGTCAACATAATAAAAACTAAGCAGTTGTATTATTATTCACCTTTGGAACGTTTGCTTTATTTAAAAACGATTTATTATTTACTCTCAATCAACCGTAAGTTCCGTAGCTAAACAGTTTTTCCTTATATCACCAGGTTTTGTTCCATCAGCAACTGATTTAAAACACAGTTTTCAACAATGGTGAGTTTTCCTATCTGTTTCCATTGTTATAGAATTAGTTGTGCCCTTTTTAAATGATGTTGTAATGAAAAGTGAAAGTATGGCTGCAGCCTTTAGCACATCGTCAAGTAGTGTAAATGTTTACAAAAGATGTAATTACTGACAATCTAAGATCATGGATATTGCATAAATAATCCCGATAGCCAATATTTTAGTTGTCATTTGTATATTTACATACAGAAACTAGGACAAACGGCATAACTAAAGTACACATATTTCCCCAAAAGACTTATGGATAAAGACACATGTATAATTAAAGTTTCTGTAAAACAATGAAGATTTTCAGTTTGTTCTACTGTTAAATCCAAATGTAGCAGCTCTTCACTGTGCATTTAAACAATGCCTGAATATCGTGTCCTTCTGTCTCTCCATAGTCACGAAGATATGATTCCAGAACAACCATCTTCTCACCTGAAGGTAAGTATTATAACCCAGTATTATACATTTGCTGTGTGTTTCTGCACTTTTACTAATGTCCTGATGTTTGTTGATTCCAGGGCGTCTCTACCAGGTTGAGTACGCGATGGAAGCAATTGGACATGCAGGCACGTGCCTGGGAATTTTAGCCAATGATGGAGTGCTGTTGGCTGCAGAGAGGAGGAACATCCACAAGCTGCTGGATGATTTTTTCATCTCAGAGAAGATTTACAAGCTAAATGAGTGAGCCACTTTTTGTAATTGAAGTTAGCGTTTTTAAATGTTGTTATGGCCGCTATTAACATAGCGTAGATACACCATCAAATCCAACTAGTATGATTTCATTGAGAGCATGTTGTACAACACGCAGTACTACATCTTTTCAGTGTCACAGATTTTTCTCTGGTTGGTCAATTTAGCTCAGAATGAAAGCCCGTGTTTTTATAATCTGCATTTGTCCATTACGTCACAGAGACATCGCCTGCAGTGTGGCAGGAATCACATCAGATGCCAATGTGCTGACAAATGAGCTGAGGCTGATCGCTCAGAGGTGAGTTCTGACGCTGAAGCTCTGACGTTGAAGCTGAGCAGAAAATATCATGTCTCTGGTAGAGTTCACATAAACATGATGTGTATTTCTTTATGTTGCAGGTTCCTGCTGCAGTACCAGGAGCCAATTCCCTGTGAGCAGCTGGTCACAAGTTTGTGTGACATCAAACAGGCCTACACACAGTTTGGAGGTCAGTAGCCTGTTCTTCTTCTAAATGTCCTGGAATTAAAAATCCCTATTAAGGATTATCTTAACTTCTGTGTGGATTCTCAGGAAATCGTCCTTTTGGAGTTTCACTCCTCTACATGGGCTGGGATAAACATTACGGCTTCCAGCTCTACCAGAGTGATCCCAGTGGAAATTATGGCGGCTGGAAAGCCACATGCATCGGAAACAACAGTGCTGTGAGTTTAAAAACACAGTCTGCTTCAAAAACAATGTCCTATACATACAGTACAGTAACTACCTACATTCTCTCATCTGCTTTTATACAATTTTTTTCACCACACCTATTCAATTCTATATGTACAACACTTACAACTCATACAAGGCCGCTAGAGGGCAGTGCTGCATATACCAAGACTGTGGTCCTTTTGTGCTGAACATTGAAGTGGTTAATGGTGCCTTCTGTTTTGGGCTTTGTACATCTCAGTGGGATACACACAAAGCACTGTGGGTAAAAGAAACCTGTGTGATCGTTATGTGAACACTTTGTTTGTGAAAATAAAAGAGCCGCACAGATGTATGCAGAGTGAAAACTAACTATAAAACTATTCTAGTGCTTTCTATACAGACTCCACAGCAGAAAGATTGTGTTCTTACATTTTTTTTGGTCTCTTGTAGGCAGCTATGTCTATGCTGAAGCAGGACTACAAAGAAGGAGAAATGACCCTTCCCTCCGCCCTCGCACTGGCGGTTAAAGTTCTGAATAAAACCATGGATGTCAGCAAACTGTCTGCGGAGAAAGGTACAGAATACAGTCTTATACATGTGTTATCTAGGATTGACATTTGGTTCCTAAGCATCTAATGTGTGTTTGCTGTTTCAGTGGAAATCGCCACCCTGACACGTGTAAACGGCAAGACCTGCATCAAGGTGCTGAAGCAGAAGGAGGTGGATGCGCTGATCAAGTTGCACGAAGCAGAGGAGGCCAAAGCAGAGAAAGACAAGAAGGAGAAGGAACAGCGAGAGAAGGACAAGTAAAGCTGGTGTCGTCCTTCCATGTTACATCAACATCTTGTCCCCAAAAGTGAACAGCAGCTTGTGTCCTTTGATGTTTTTCAAACTTGTAAATATTTGACTGGAAAGCAATAAAAACATATTGGTTTCACTTTAATGTTTTGAATTATCGGTTTATAATCAATGTTTAAAGTCCAAAAGTCGACTGACAATTTGGAAATATATTGAAGTAAAACTAACTGTAGCTCAGAAAATCGGTCAAAGAAAGTCTTCAATGTGTCAGTGGATGTTGTTCTGGGACAGCTGCTGAGTGCAGGCAGCAGATGGTCATAATGCACACTTTATGGGGTTATGAAACAGTGAAGCATCATTACACAATGTATACAATATACGCAGAGCTGAGGACTAAGTGCTGTCTTTAACTGTGAGACAGGATGTCTCTCTAAATCCATTCATGGCTCTAATTCTGTTCAGAAGTGGCAGAGAAGTACTTGAAGTTGGTGCAACGCATGCATGACCACAACAAGAGAATGAAGGCGTGTGCACTTTGTCAACAAATCTGTTCACGAATAATATATACAATCAAACATTGCAAACAACATTTAAGGAACTACAAATACAATTTGGCACTAAACTAACATGCAACCCTATTTAAATCCTATTTATAGTTGAAGTCAATTATTATTGACATCCAGTGTCAACCAATTGTGGTTGTTTTGCGGGCCACCTCTGGGGCCCAGAGCCAGGTGTTTGAGACTCCTACATTAGGGCCATCTGGAGTTAATAACCGTTTTCAATGTTGTCTGTTTTTATTATTTATTTTTAGTGTTCAAAAAAACAATGTGGAACGACATTTCAATTAGATCTGCATCGTTAAAACCAGCATTAGCTGCTGTGCGTCAGGAGACAGAGGTTTTTATTTCAATCATATGAGCACATTTGTCATTATCTTCCAGTGTCAGTGTGAGGACAGCGGCACCGAAAGAGGGGATTAACTGTTCGCCCAGTGCTTTTAACGCCACTAACCACACGCTGGAAACTGAGACGTGGGCAGTTTCCGAGAAAAGTGATGTGGCGCTCAGCCTACATTTGAGGTGTGTGTATATAAAGTCATCATCAGATTAAGGCCAGGAGGTGCCTGTTGTCTTTCACTCTGGGGATTTAAGACTCTTCTAGCCTCTAGTACAGTACAGCTGTGATCAACATTCATATCTTTGTCTTAAAGTACTCATTCATAGTGTATACATATGGAAAACCTATATATAGTATATGTTTCTATATGTGACTGTATTATGCAATCTTTCAGCATTTTCTTATTGTTCTGATGTTGGCAGGGACCGTCAGACAGTTGTCACTGTTAAAGATATATTTTTTTTTTTTAAATGATTTTTGATATATATACATATATATAAAACCATCAGGAATCAAACCAGTGACCTCCTTGCTGTAAGGCAACAGCACTGATCGCATAAATGTAGTTCGCTTTTTGGTCAGGGACCGCCCCTAAAGAGGTTTAAAGGAATTCCCCTGTAAGGTTTGACATTCTGTTAGTTCTTAGAAAATAGTTTTCACATTTGTGCCTGCGACCTAATGGCCTAAAAATCAGATTGCCGGAGTATTAGCGAGGCTGATTTAGCACAACTGTCACCGTCATGTTCCAGGCCACTGGAAATAGATCTGTGGATCAAGTGGCTGACTGAGGCGTTTGTTACAGTCCCTGGCTGAAGGCCAGCAGTGAGCTGTTAGTGTGCTGCTGGGAGATTATCTCCTGAGTCAGCTGAAACTGTGCTTCCCAGAACTACTGTTTCACTTTGAAAGAAAAACAACACTTTTGTTTCCTCAGAACAGCTTCACTGCTGCTCTGTGCCTCTGACAAATGTTTACCATCAACTGTTCACTGTCTTTGTACCATCTGACATTTTATTTTCCATTATTATGTTACACTTTCATTTAAGCTCTTTAGAACCTGTTACATTCTTTTCTTAGATTCTTCTTATATTTCTTTGTATTTAATTGATTCATCTAATTAACATTTTTATATAATAGAATTATTTGTTACATAACTTATTTATTATATATTTTTGACATTTCAAGGGGATTTTTATTGCATGGTTTGACATTAGTTGCAAATAATTAGTTTGACTAATTAAACCTATGGTCCCAACCAAATATAAACAATAGCCTCTTTGTATCACATTCCTTACTTTGTAAACAACCATCTTAATACAACATTAAAAAAAAAAAACTACTTAAAAAAATTAATCCAAAACAACCATATACATGGTTATCAACTTTTATTCACCCCAGTTTGTATACAAGAGTGGATTGTCATTCAGTAGGAACCAAAACCACCAAAAACTAAACACAAATCCTGTAGCTATTACATTACACATTATACATACATAAAAATATACCTCTGAGTAAAATCAAATGTTGACATTTTCCTACGAGAGCTTACAGTCAGGGATCGATCGGTAGCACTGAGAGAGAAGTAAGTAAGGCCCTCCCCCGTTCCAACTGCAACATAAACTGTCCACCCTCACGTGAACCACAGGACAGGCATGGGGAATGTCGGTTAGTATTGCTTTACATACCACACTGGATTTCGATTCGTCCGTAAATAATATCATTTACACCCCACAGCAGACACAGGGAATTCTTTGGCGTTTAACTGCTGTGAACTACCAGCCACCAAACTTCAAGGAGAAAATAAACTAAAGATTTCTAAATTGCATACTGTAAAAGATTCATCACCTTGAAGGTTGCACTCGCAGGACAGTCTGAATCTGCATGGGATGAAAAGTGACTTATGAACTAATTTCTTTCCAATAAGACTTAAAAGCAAAAAAAAAAAATTTACATTGCACGTTTCTCTTTTTAGGCACAGAAAGCAGCTGCAGGATCCTGCAGTATCTTCTACCCACAGCTGGTGTCTCGTCACAGAGATAAACATCAAACTTTCAGAAAATACATTACAGCAAAGTAGTAAATGTCAACTCTGATCACAAGCCAGATTTTTTTTTTAAAATGATAAACCGATAACCAAATATTTTCACAATTTTCAACCAAATTTACAAAAAAAAATAAATAAATCAATGTACTGTTGTTACAGGTGGAAAATCATTTCAGTAAACTATTTAATGGTCTCAATTAGAATTCAAACCCTCATCAATCCCATGACCACAAGCTTGATCCTGTAACTGCGAGGCTACAGGATGTTATTTTCCCCAGTTACATTATGTTAGGAAGTAATCAGGTGATAAAGCACAATGGACTGAAACCAAGCTCCTAATGGAGGAGTTGCATCATAGTATAGTATTACTGCACTTTTTGGAGTTCATGACAAAACTTCATTTTTGATTTGATGCTCATCTCCATGATGCTGTTGGGCTGAAGCTGGATTAGAATCAAACGTTATCCTGTAGGTTTTAGTTGAACTCATTGATAAGTGGAGTTTTTAAACAACAATTGTTCAGCTTAAAATCTGGGGGGGAAAAAAACTCTGCAATGTGTTTTGTATGAAATAAAATACTGCACAAATACTACGTAGGTGTTTCACTCTCTCCCCCCCCACACACACACACTTAAGCAAAGTTCCTCCATTCGTGGCTACATGGTTATGAGTGTAAAAGTTTAGCGATGTGCTGGAATGATGTGATGTATTTCAGGAAAATGTGTGAATAAGTGTGAATATTTATCAGTAACAGATCAGGCCTTTACTGCCATGTAATAATCCTAAACAAAGGTTTTCAGTGTTTATACCAAGACTCCTCCAAAAAAACAGTTCTTATCCCTAATGTTACAATCTGCGTGGTTTACATCAGACAAACAAACCAACGTTTTTATATTTTCAACAAAAAGGGGAGAAGCAGTGAGCAGAAATACAGTGACTGTTTTATGCCAAACACTAGCTTACTTTGACTGTCTAACTGAGGAAGTAAAAGTGTCACAAAATACACCAAACAATAAAAAAAAAAAAAATTAAATCCCACAATGCATGTGACAACCTCCACCAGCCTCCTCCAATCACCAATCAGCAGTTATTCACGGGGGAAGAGAGACAGAGGAGGGAGGGGCAAAGGTGTTTGTGTCACATGGAACTGATACCACTCCCAAAAAAACCTCATTGAAAACCACGAGTTTGTGAAAGAGGAAGAAAAGATGACACCTTCAGTTTTTGAGATATTTTGGTGGTGAGGTGCGGTGGTGCAGGGGCAAGTGTCCGGAGTGTGAACGTGTATGTAGAAAAGAGGGGGAGGGTGTTGAGGCTGTCAGGGCGTGGATGATGTAGGAGTCACTCCTCATCTGAGCTGCTGTTGTCCAGAGAGTAAACCATGAAGGCCAGATCGGGCCGGGCTGGTACCATGGGGTCACCTGGCTTCACCATCTCAAAGCCCATGTAGTGGAAGGTCCTGATGATGGACACTGGTGGAGGAGACAGGGCAGAGATCAGCTAAAGAGAAAAAGTGGACGAACAACAATAATAATAATATGAAAAGCAGCTCTTACTTCGATCCTCTCTGTTTTTCTGGAACCACAAAAAGACCTGGTTAACTTTGAGCTTCTCTTCTGCAAACTCCAGCAGAGCAGTCAGCCTGAGGACGACACCAGCACAGAGTCACTCGGTGAATCAGGGAAAAGAAAGCACTGTACGGTGACGCACATAATGTCTCACTCCTTTTTACAGAAGCGCTGAAATTTTACATAATCCAGTGACGGCGGTGCCGCGGGCTGCTCATCAGACTGGTTCTGCGATCACGACAGACAAGGTTACTCTGTCCTGGCATTGATCGCAGCCACACACAAAGGCAGCCAGCAACTAATGAAACCCATGAACAGCTGCCATAGTTAAAGGCACAGTGTTAACATTGAAAACATGATAATACAGCAGTCTCCTATCATAAGGTGAGACTGTGCTTGGAGACTATTTTTAAAGGATTTCAATAATGTATTACAGACGTCGAGAGATAAAAGAGAATTTCCTCCGTGTATAATTTAGTTTATTCAGCATTTGGACCATTTTGGTTGTTTTCAGTTCCCACACACTGGTCATTCAAAGCTAGGGGTCAACATAGGTAGACATTTTTTCGAGATTTTTTTTTTTTTTTTTAACAAGCCCCTCACCCTTCTTTGCTCCCTTCAACGAGAACTCCAGCAGGAAACTCCAGAAATGTCCCCTGATAAAGCTGTATCCCAGGAGGCCGAGCGGCGCTCAGTCAGCTGATAGTGAAAGTGCAGAAGAGAGGTGTTCCCACTGGCTGCAGAGTCCTGCGTCACTGTTAACCTTTCATCCTGGATACACACAAAGAGGTGATTGATTGGTTTATTATCGACTCTGCGCTGCATCAACGACTGATCTGCTCTGATCTGGTTGAACACTTCTGCTTATTGTAATCCCACTGAGTGATTCTTTCTCAGATAGAGTATTTTATGAGGCGTGTGGCTGTGCAGCATGTGACAGCAGAGAGACACATTGTGTTCATGTTTAGAACACACATCCTTTCACTGCTACAGAAGGTCCTGCATCTGCAATTTGTTTGATATTTGAAATGAACGTCTCCAACTGTCTGTCAGATGATCAAGGGAAATAATGGAGGCTATTAATGTATGCCAATGTGATCCAACTAGATTTGCGATGGTTGTGGCTACTGTGTTCACATAGCAGGACACGTTGCTGCACAATCGAGCCAAGTTCCGTCAGTTTTTAGTTCTTGAATTTACAGCAGCCTGACAAAGCACTGCTATTATAAAGGTAGTAATACTATAAATACAGTTTGTCTCATTTAAACTCATTAAACTCATTTTTATTTTTTCAAAAGATCCAGTAAAAAGTATACATATGGAGCTTTTGATAACAATTTGGCAACACTAAATCAAAAACACCACTAATTTAACTCAGTTAAAAATTTAAAAATGAACACAAAACAAAACGATGACCTAGTCCTCATGAGTTACCTTGTGTAGTAGCACGACGAAAGAGTGATCCCTGACAGTCCCTCGCCCACTCGGGATCTTCAGTTGTGGGTGAGGGGCATCAGGAACACCACAGAGGCCCTGGAGCCCGAGGGTTAGAGCATGGCAGTCGAGAGCCGGCTAACCAGGAGCTGAGGGGAGAAAGAGGAAGGAGTCGGTTGGTGTCTGAGAAACACACCATCTGAGAAACATACGGTTCTGTCATAAACTGCCACAAAGAAGAGAAGGAAGTCAAACTGACAACATTTCTCAAACAGATATTAATCATTTTAAACTCTAATCAGTCATGAAAACTGAAGGTGCCTCAAATGCTGCTCAGCATGTTGCTGCTTTGTGAATCCAATTGATTTACTGTCTCCAGACATACAGTATGTCACTGAAGCATATTATGCTGTCCACCTGGAAAAACAAGACAAAACAAACTGCAGGAGCTGCTCCTCCTGCAGCCTCACAGCACATGATACCCTCAGGGGAGCTCAAACAGTGGAGATGTTAAGATGTCCGTTGGTTCAGTAAAACCATTCAATCTACATCATACATATAAATAAATTATTATTATTTCAATAAGAGGACAACAAGGGGGTCAACAAAAATGCACGAGTCTTCTTATCTTCTGCTTCATCCTGTTCAAGATCGAAGAGGAAACTGCAGCTACTGCACGACACACATGCCACCAGCAGGAGACCGAAATTAACTTTGACATAAAAATAAGATTTTTATCCTGATGAAAACACTGATGTCCTGTTGCCTCATTTAGCCACTGCTCCACAAAGACTTCATTAAAAACATTGCTCCTACAGGGAGCACCAAGGCAACACACCACACTTCTACTGTTCAGCAGATGAAGGCAGAGGCGTTAAACGGAACACATGCTTAGTACTGTTCCAAACAAACTGTTTCTGCCCCACTGTGCAGCGCAATTCAGTCTCAATGTCTGAGGAAAATTCAAACTCTTAAACATTCAAATTCTTATACAAAAGCAAAACACACAAAGCCAAAATTAACTCAAAATCTTAATCTTAATTACTTTAATGTCTATGTGGAATTAATGGATACAATTCATTCTGTATCATAATGTATTAACTCTGACTTTGCTCATAAATCACTTGCAAAATAATAGTAATCCCCAGTTAAAGAGCCCCACAAATTTAAAGCCCATGATTTGTAACTGTATGGTTGAACAGGAGGATTGGTTGGAGATGTGGGTCATCAACAAGCACATGATCTGTAAACACCTCTGCAAATAGCTTGGAAGGCTTTTGGAAACATGCATCTTGGGCGTTTTGAGTTACAGCTCCCGTCCAGGCCGCCACAGACTGCTGGATCAAAGCTTGAGCATTTGTATAATACGCCGATCAATTCTTTCAAAGAAGAAGCAGCAGCACCATCATCTCTGTAGAGATAGAGTACCTCTCCAGCAGCACTTTCATCTCTGTAGAGATAGAGTACCTCTCTTCAGGACAATTTTAACCTACCTGTTTTTGACCTGGCTAACCTGGAATAATTTTCAAGCTACTCTGTTCTTTAGCATTTAGCCCTATACATTTTGAGCAAAACCTGTCAAACGACATGGCGAGGCCTGTAAGGAAGGCAGCTAAAGGTTTGTGTGCAAACAATTCCATATTTAGAGCCATGCAACATGGAACAACAGTGACAACAGATCAAGATAAGAGTTTCTGGAGGTGTGTCTGGGTCACCACAGGGTATGTAGACTGGTCTAACAACCTTGTCTGCATGCCATAACATAAACAAAATTAGTGTTCTGTTATTTTGCCATCCCATCCTATTACTTCCTTTGCTATGGGACAGAGATCATTACTTTAGAGATTATCAAGCTTTAAACTATTGGCTTCATGTTTGAGATGATTGCATGTGGCAGATTCCAGAGCTAAAAAACAAAAACAACACAGAAAGCAACTGAACAGCAAGGACTGGTTTTAAGTGTGGAGGTCTGCTTCTTCTCTTTCAGAGACAGACAGAAGAGCCTGTCCTTGATGTGAATGCCAGCTTGTTTTGAAAGGCAACACTCTGGTCCTCTGACATTTAAGTCACTGTCCAAGCAAACCTCCCCTCCACCGCTCCTGTCCCATGATGCCACTCCAGCTGGAGTGCTGCAACTTTTAGCCAACTCTATAGGTCACCCTAAAATAAGAATATAGGTTATGTGTTTTGCTTTTAAAGACGGCACAAGAGTTCAGGAAGATTCACGAGCCTCGGCTAGTCTTAATGGAGAGGGTTTAGTGCATCATTGTGTGAGCTGGCTGGAAACAGGCGTACATGTGCATGTGTCTTTATTCAATTATCGGAGGATAAATGCTCCCACTGTCTGGTCTTCCTGAACTGGGAGTTACGACAAGAGATTCAGGTGAAAGTCCATGTTGGTCAACGGCTTCACTTGGAGAACAGCCCAGGAAAAACATTGTTGCCAAAAATACAAAAACACACCCTAAAAAGACATCTACCATTGTTATCTATTATGATTTCATAGAAGACTGCATACTGTCCAAACAACTAAGAACGGAAAACACTGGAGACAAACATCACGTAGCTGCTTGTAGGAACATAAACACGAGAGTCTTCTTTCCCCTTCCGACCCCTGGAAGTTTGGCAGCGCAGCATGTTGGAAAAGATGCCTAGACAGAAACAGGAAAGGCGCACGTGCTCTGAAACCTGAGTGCGGATGGACAAATCCCTGTCCCTGACCCCTGGACAACTGATCCAACAAACTGAAGACAACAAAACGAGTGTCAAACTATTTCGGAGCAGCAGAGCAGTGTTCTAGAAAATGAATATGGAATTGAAACAAGACAGCCAGACATCCCCAACCGCTTTAAGTAAAACAATTGTCTGGGGTTTATTGAATGCCCCTAAAATTATAAGATTATAAATTATAAAATTATATTATAAGTTTTGCACACCTTCAATGCCTAAGTCTTTTAATTAAAAAAAAAACCATCAGAAAAATGGTCTACCGTCTTAGCCGCTGCTGCTGCAACAACAACAACACATTCAAACTCATGTAAATAAAGGATACTTTAGTCTAAGTGACATGGATTTGCATTGCTCCTTCCACAAGTGACACAGCTACAGTATTGTTTTTGTTTTGTTTTTATCTTGCCATACCATCACACCTCTTTAACAGGCACTCAGCTACTATGTCCCAGCTCTTTAGAAAGCGTAGATATGTGTGACACCTCCCTATGTTTGTCTAGACACATGCAGGCAAACACACTCAAACACAAACAAGTTCCATCCAGGCTTGATAAGTGGACCGGTACAGTAGCAGGTTATGTAACCAGAATAATGTGGGACAGTGGATGCCTTCAACTGACAGGGTTACAACAATAGGCAAACAAAGTCCCGCCTGTTCAGCTACAATGCTGGTGACAAATGACATATTTCTTTGTATGTGTAGCAGTGTATTCATTGTGTATTGCTTTGTGCAATCAACTGACGGTGCCAATGATGCTGCTGCTGCTGTTCTCTTTGGTTAAAATGAAGTTGACTCCCCTGTGCGCTGGGTGCATTTTTGGTTGTTTTTCCCCCAATAGTTCCATGAATTGTGTTGATAAATATCTTTATTTGTTGGTAAGTTGGTAATAAAAAAGAGAAAAAATATATATAAGGGCGCTTCAATGTCCTTTTAAATGAAATTTTGCCAAGTATTTGCATACTCTCAAACTTGCATGTGATGTAGTTCAGCTTTGTGTAAAATACGTGATACACCTTTATATTGAATTAACCCCATACTGTCACCGTCTGTACACTGTGTCAACCGTTGGACCGCAGCTCTTATACAATGCATTATTGGATATTTGGGCAGTTCCGTAGTTTTACTGTTTTGAAATAACTAAGTATCACATGTCTGGAAGTGTTTTAGGTGCATGGAGTTGATTCTTAATCTATAAAGCATTTTTGTAGACGTAGAGTAAAGTGGAGTTGTATTCCGTCATCCGTCGTTACGGAACGACGTTATTGAATGTCAAGGTTTTTATGCCTTATTTTTTCTTACCCTCTCTTCGTGCAGTTGTTCATATGCGCCTTTGTTACTTCCTACAAATATAAACTTCCTAAAACTCTAGCTTAAGAGTTTCAGGACTTACCTGAAACCAAACTGCAGTAGTAAAAAAAACAAAAACAAACAAAAAACCCCCCAAACAAAACAATGTCACCTGAATGACAACAACAACAAAAAAACATCTGCTGTTGTCTCGAGAAGAATTTCAGCTCCTACCTTTCCTCGGTGTTCAGCATGATAGCTTCGAGGATACAAGGCTCTTTGTGCGGTTTTTTACAGCCAAAACAACTACTATTTAACAGAAACTCCACAGACAAGTTCACCATTCGTGACTAGACAAGAACCAAAATCCTGGTCGGGATTTATTCGTTGCAGGTTCTCTACGTCCCACCGGTACGTGCAGGATACACAAACACACTCAACAGTAATGTTGCTATCCGCAAGACAGCGTATTTATAGCCACAGCTGGGCATCATGGGTAATGACGTCAAACACGTTCACAAGGGAGTTTTGTTTTATTTAAACAATACATGGACTAGGTGCTGTGTAAATTTATCGCTTAAAGTTTAAATACAATGATTATATCATAGACATTACTAACAGTTAAAGAACATTATTTAAAATAGTCATATGAGTTAGTTATTCTTGTCCCCTATGTCTCCTGAAGGTGGTGCTATTAACACAATTGCAATGCCCTAATCAATGAGTTGAGCACATTTTTACCATAAATAAACATTTAAGAAAACTTAAAAAACGTTTAAAACTTGGTTTTAAATATGTTTATTTTTTGTACATAGACATTAATGCAAGCCCCACTGTTGTAAGGAGCTGTTCACGTCATAAAGTTTGAAATGTTGTCAAAAATTAAAACATGAACAACCAAAACTGAAAATACACCGTTTTATATTTAGATTAAATTCACTAGAAATTCAGTTTAAAATGTATGACCTAAAACATAAGCTAAGCTAACCGTGTTTAACGTGCCTACTTTACTTCTTCTTCTTTGGTTTTTAACAGCAATGTATCTATTCCGTTGCATTACTGTCACCTACTAAGCCTTTTGTGTAAATGCGAGCCACTAGTGTACTGGTAAAAAAAAAAAAAAATCACTTAAAAATAAGGAACCTCCAGGTACGTTTCTCTTCTGTCTCTAACAGTCATGAACTTTCCCTGCTGTGGTAACCCTGTGACCCAGACCTAGTGTGACTCTGAACATAGAAATAGTTATGTAAGAAGGAGTGGAAAGAGATTAGAAACAAGACACCAGGACAGCTACTTGATCTTGGCACACAATAGCATTACTGTTAGTGGTCAGCTTGCCTGGGTGAGCGAGGGACATGGCAGTCAGTGCCATCTGCCAACTGTCATCTTGATGATGTAACAATAACAGGTCCACTGCAGATATGGGTGCTCTATAAATGAAATGTGAACCTTGAGTTCCCCATAAAATGTGAACCTGTATGAGATAACAAGAGTCAAGCTTAAAATGTTTAAATGAAAATTAGATTTTGAAAAAATGTGTCTTATGTTACACAATTATAGGCTAACAGATCACAGAAATAAAGTAGAAAGTAGAAGCATGGTTTATAATAAGTTTTATATTTAGCCAAATTATCTTATCATATCTTTCAACGCTTCAAATCTGTATTAGTAAATAGCAGTTCAAATAAATCCTCAGTATGGGACGTTTTCAGCTAAACACCACAGAATGATTTTCTACAAATCCCTGTCCGTTTGTTCGACTGTTTGCAGCAGGTGTTAGGCTGCAGCAACAGACAAAAAGCAATCTGAGCCCATGTGTGAATCTCAGGTGAACACTGAACAGTACGAGTTGTCCCTCAGCTGTGCCTGTCATGAACTCTAGCGCAGCATCACAGTCCTGCACATGGGATGCTGGCTGAAAAACAAAATGCCTCTCTTGTTTCAACCTGCCTTAACGCTGCTGTTTCGATACCAATGACCTGGTATTTCACTCCTCGCGCTGAAAAAACAGAAGGCAGATCGTGTGAACAATGGACACTCTATCCCAGCTTTGAAGATAAAATATTCACAGAGGGTAAAGAGTGAAGAAAGGTGTGGCTGTAGAAAAGACATCTTCTCCCTCTACCTACTGCCAGTAGGGTTCGTAGATACAGAAGTAGCAGCAGCATTAGCAGAAAGAGTAATACCACTTACTACAGGTACAATGGTAGTAGTTGTAAGAACAGTTTTGGTAGACAGAATTTTAATACTGGCGGCAGAAAGGTTGGTAATTATAGCCGTTTTGGTAGACAAAATTTTAATACTCACTGTAGTAGTAAAAGTATGAAGAGTAGTTAAAGTTGTACCGTTAGTGGTGCATTAGCAGCATTGGCGGCAGAAAGGTTGGTAAAGCGGTGCATTGGCAGCATTGGCGGCAGAAAGGTTGGTAATTATAGCAGTAGCAACAGTAGTATTAGCAGTAGGAAGAGTTATACCAATTATAGTAGTAGTAGTTGTACTAACACTATCAACGGTCATGTAGCAGTAACCTCAGGAGAAGGAGTAATGCCGGTTATTGTAGTTATAGCAGTAGCAGTGGCCATTATAGTAATCGAAGTAACAGTAACTGTTATCATAGGCAGAGTTGCAGCAGTAGCAGAAGTCAAAGCAGTCGTAACAGTAGTATTAGCGGTAGCAAAAGGGACAGCAGCATCATTTAAACCAGATTTAGCATTAGCAGCAGTAGCAGTCGTATTGTTTTGTCCGTAGTCTGTGCTTGGAATTCACGCATCTCAGGGGACTCCTCTCACAGCACAGACTGCACGTGTACAGCTGTGTTGATGAAACACACCTCACCTCACTGAAAAATAAAATGCTCACGTTTCCCTGTGTACTTTGTCAGTGTCCTTTCTATTGTGCTGACATCTATTGTAGGGTAACACAGGAAGGGATACAGCAGAACTGGGACGCTGACTTTTAAATATACCTGTGTCAGGTTTCAAGCTTGTAACTAAACAGTCTTTGTTATGAAGCACGAGAAAGGAAATGAAATGAAACACGCCAATGTGTCTCATTTTGTGTTGGGACACTGTGTCTACCTCTACATGCACCTAATCCATGCAGAAATATTCTAAATCAGCTTCGGCCTCTCACATTTTCTATGAGGTCGAGCTCATCAAGGGCAAATCAAAATCAGGGACAGGCAAAAATAAATAAATTGTAATTTATCACAATTATCTTCACATTAATTATGTGATGCCTCAGAGCCATGTTCTCTCTGTCCTCTGAATAACAACAGCACTTAATGAAGGCGAGGCCTTCAGCAGAGCCCACAGGAAGTAGAGTTTCCCTTTTGTTATTTAGGTGATGATTAGGGAAGGCTCAATACTTCAAGAAAAATAGTGTTTTTAGTTTTTGCTTGTTTTAGAGGGTTGAAATAATTACAACCCAATCAAATGTCTATTTAGTTCTGCAGTTCCTTAGTTTGTTTACCTGCCCTGAAAGCAATCACATGTTTTGACCATAGATCTACAGAGCCAGCACCTGACGTCCTTACATGTGTCATTCTTTATGATGATTTTAATCAAACTTAAACCACTGTAATCTAAATGTGTAAAAAAAAGTCATTATTAGTCTTTAGTTCTATTCTCAGAATTAGTCAGAAATTCTTCAATGAGAATTAGGTTACAACACCTGATCCTCAAGAAAATTATATGATTTTATTTGTGGAAATATCACATGGCACATTGGTCAAGAAAAAGATCTGTTTAGTCTTTCCACAGTTCTGATCCATTTGTTCTCACATCACCTTGGTCTTCTCAGCCTTTCATGTGATAAACCCAAGTCTCACTGTGTGCTATTTTCTCCCCACAGTCACACTCAGCACCTTGCTAAGCTGATTGTCTCTGTGTAATACAGTGCAGTGGAAGTACGTTGGTGACGGCAGGACGGGCGGAGCAGTGGATCTGATTTAGAGACTGCAGGAACATCACTGTGGTACCAAGCTGCAGGATTGTATGTGGGAAGAACATATATGTTGGCTTAAGATGCTTTTTCTAAATTTGTATTTATTACTTAACACCTTCTAGTTGGATCCACCATCGACCAAACCCAGACCTTCACCTTCACCTGGAGTCGTGTTTCAATATTAACCTTCAGAATAAAAACTACTTTTCTATTCCATTAGACACAAATACATGTCAAATATCTCAAAACTCTACACCTGACACACCTGTGTATAATCTACAGCTAGATTCATATTTTAGACTCAGGGAGTCAGGACCGACCACTGCACACTGCGAACACCCGGCTACGTGAGGCAGGCGGGAATGCAGCAGCTTTTATTGCATGAGGCTGAGCACTTAACGGTCCCCATACCTCGGTTTTATGGTTTTATCATGTCCACAGAAATATGCATCCACTCTGGGAGGAAGGGACTTCAATTAGCCCATCACGCTGCACTGAACATACAGAGCACACGGGCCACCTGGTCTGCACAGAACATGCTGTGGCTTTACTTATTAACTACTATTTCATTTAAAACATGTCAACTTGCCGAGCAGACGGAGAACATATGGTTAGGAAGAGCTAAAGGTTCAGTGACTGTCTGTAAATTTCTATTTAAAGATTTCCAATAGTTATCTTCTTTTTATTCACTTTGTTTTTCCCAGGTTGTTATTTGAAGGCAATGAATTTCATTAAAAACTCTACAGCAAAGGTCAGGGCTCATCTGGGCCAAGTTAGAATCAAAGGTCAGCTGTGATAGAGTTTTTTTGGACATTTTTGGCCTCATTTTTTTTTACAGTAATTTTTTTTGGACATTTTTTGGCCTCATTTTTTTTTACAGTAAAACAGGAAGAAACAGACTGAGGGAAAAGTTTCCATGTGAATGCTGTCCACATCTTGTCTCTTGAGTTCTGAAGAATCTCCAGAGGAGACTTACACTTTCACGTAATACCCAACTAAAACAATGGAGACACAACAGAGGCGACCTAAATTAGCACACACTCGCACAGGGCTCGTCGTACCGTCTTCCTGTCAAGAGTTGTGAGCAAGCAGTAAATATGGAGGAAGGGCAAGAGATCGTGGCGAACAATGTGTCACCACATCAACGGGCCAGTCCTGAAGACGGCTCCCTCCATTGAACAACATGACACAGTCTGAGAGCTGCGGCGAGAGGAAAAGAAACTGAGGAGGAAACTAGGGAACAATGAAGAAATGGACGTGACACCACAGCTTGGTCTTAGTTCTGGGTGGGAGCCCAAAACTCCTGCACAGAAGTCAAAGCCCAGCTTTTTAAAAGTCACTGACAAGAAACGCGGCCCAGTTCCCACGCTGACCTTTCCCACGCTGCTGCTCATAATGTTTATTAATACTCCTGTTGTTGGACTGTTTCCGTGCTGCGTGTTTGTGTTTCCTTATCTTTGCAGGCGCACTTGAGCTGCTGTTATTTTGTACTTTCTTTGCTCTTTTTCTGTCAATTTCTAGGGTCTAAACTTCCTCTTCCTGTCCTGTCAACCACGTATTAATCCACCTGGATGGGAAATGACATTTAACTGTAATTTATGATAGCTTTTAGATGGTTATAAAAGAAAATGTGGGCTATGTGCTTATACATAGAGTCATTCAAAAATGTAACAAGTTCAATGAACTTTTTTTGAACTTGAGCTGTAGCCATCAGGATGTGGAAGTGTAGTTTTACAACAATATCAGAATTTAGATTTAGTTTGATGTACTGTTTGATTAAATAAACATGTTGAACATTTATTAAATTATAATCCCATTTAGAGAAAAATGGATGATAAAGCAAACGTATGAAAATGCAGTGGTGTGCTGTGTCACAATGACAAGTCGTTCACTTTCCTTTCCTTTCCTTAATTCACTCTCAAAATATTTGGTTTCCCTGATCACAGAGTGTTCCTGGTGAAGATTTCATTAGCGTGGACTGAGTCATGGTCAGTGTTCCCGCTAATCTCTGGCCACCAGGCATTTTCCTGCTCTTCCTACTGTGTTTCAACACAGTTGTAACTGATCTATTACCATCATTGTCTTATGTCAAACGTTGACTCTTGTGTGGAAAAAAAAAGCTGCTGTCAACACAAGTGTACTTCAAATAAAAGCCTCTGGTATTCATCAAAGTGTTGGGTAAACAGATACAAGGACCTGTATTGTCGTCTCACCACAGAGACTTTTATTCTCTTCACTGAGCGATGGCACATATGATGCAGGGAGCTGCGTTACCGCCGGGCTCAGCTTAGAAACTGCAAACTTATGAGGCGTTTTAAGAATTTGCCCGAGGAGACTTTAACGCGTGGACAAAAGCAGCTGAGTCTCAACCATCAAACATATGATCAGCAGAATTTTTTTTTTTTTTACTGAGCTTCAGTCGACCACCGACTGCACACAGGCTGTTTTCCACTGTTCGAGACGACTAATCTCCCAACATACCGGATACCTCTGTACTATTTTTACAACTTTTTAAAGTTTGTGTACTCAATGCCAAAGTATTTTACCTACTAGTTTTAGGCTGAGTTAGAGGGGGCACAGCTCTGTTGGTAATGGGGCGATATGAAGTGTAACATGTTAATTATATATTACAATAATTCCTTTTTGATGAAACATTCCTGCACACATTGCATGTTTACGTATTTGTAGGTCAAAGACTTTAAGCTCAGAAGAATCCAAATCCTCATTAATTCTACTTTGTACTACTACTTCCAAAGTCCATACACCTGCCTCTGTATCTGCTGCCATCAGAAGGTGAAACTGCCAAACTGGTCCAACATGAAAAAGAGGGAAATGCTTGACTGGACTGACAGGAGAACAGGATGAGGTTGTTTGGACCTTCAGTGTGGCAGCGTACCTCCACGTCCCGTGTTGTGATCCTCTTCTAATCTCATTGACAAAGCCTCCAGCAGGAAGCTATGCCAGATATGTCTGCCTCATCACAGCTCTACCAGCAAAGCAGGCGAGTGAAGAATAACATTGTTTCCCAGAACAATCATTATTCCATAAATACAAGGACAAAATGAACAACAGAGGGTTTAACCCAGACTCCAGCTGTGCCAACTCCAGGGAATTCTTTCCATATTTCCCTCCCTGGTGACTCACTTAATGCCTGAGTGAATTTGGGCAAAACAAGGTCAGCCGAGCACAGGCCCTACTTTTTCTGTCATTGACAGGAGCAGGAGTTTTAAAGGTGAAAAACAAAGGTCTTTTGGAGAACTTTTACATCTGCTATTTGTGTCTAAATGTTAACTGCAGAGAAGAGAAATGACATAGACTTTTTCTCCCTCAGTTATATGACTGGACGTTAGCAGAAAGTGACGATGTTTTCTGAGGCAGATTTCATTGAGCAGAAGCAACAATAGAGTCACAAAAAGTTAAACTTTTGGATGGCGGATTTACATCTGCTATTTGTGTCTAAATGTTAACTGCAGAGAAGAGAAATGACATAGACTTTTTCTCCCTCAGTCAAATTGAAAATACAATGAAAGATCAGTTTAATCCTCATATGCAAACAGTCTCATATGATGAGGTATGTAAATGTGTGTATGTATGTAAATTGATCTCAATATTATTAGTTATTTATGGGAGTTTTCACGGCACTGATAAGCAGATTTTTTCTCAGTTTGTTAATGAATGAGAAATTATCATCTGGGTCCAATTTTGACCAACTGATTTGAGGACTAGGTTGAATCAAACCTGGATCCTTCACTCACATCTGCACCACAAAATAAATAAATAAATAAATAAAAATGGATAAGTGTTTATTCTGAAAGATGTGTGATTCCATCCACCAGAGCAGTGAACGGTCACAGTTTTTAAAGTACCTTTACAAGGATCTGGACACTGTCTTTCTCCACTGTCTAATTTTCCATTAGCACTGTTGGACACTGTTGGTGTTAATATAACTATATTAACTATGTTCTGCACACTTTTTAACCCACTTTATAAAGAACTTCCCACCTGACTTTAAATTGTCTCCTCAGCCCTATTTCTTCAGGAAAAAAAAAATTAACTATGATCCTTATTTGACTCATTTGTCAGATCATTAACAGAGTGAAGACACATAAAAGCTCACAGGTCTAGCACCGGAAGCTAGTGGACAAGTAATGAATGTCAGTGTCCTCACAGAGGATGTGGAAACTGGAGACTCGTTTTTAAAGATCAGTTGACAGAGCACATTATTCAAGGTTAGGAATTTGAACGTTCCATCACACAGCTCTGTTCCCATGGTTCTCTGTGCTTTTCCACAGCTGCTTCCAAAAAAGGGCATGTGGAAATTTATAACATGGTGAGAGATAACTTACTGCCCAGTGCTACCTTCCAGGGACACAGTGGCATAGAGACAACCGATTGGGATTAATACAAGTGATCTGGATGTAAAGTTGAAGGATGGGTCGGCACTGATGAAAAAGTAGGAGCAGCAGATACATAATAACTTACACAGTTAGCAGTTATTTTTATGATACAGTTGTCACTGCAGCATCCCTGCTCAGTGCTGTGGATTAAAAAAAAAAAAACTCAAATGCTACACATTTTTATTTTGACATGTTAAGCACATACCTGTGTCAGTGTCGGCCATTTTGTTGTCCAACTTTGGCTACTGAAAACAGCTACTAATTTTAAAAACACATTTTAGGCATCATAAAAAGACAACAAGACAGAAAACATTTCACTTTTTTCCTGTCATTTATTTTATTATTGTCAACTACGGCATGAACGCTCACCTCACCTCACCTCACCTCTAAGTTTTATATTAAGTGAGTCAGTGAAGTGGCGCCTCAGGGATCGTGAGTCGTTAAGTACGCTGATTGAAAACGACTGCTGCCGCTCATGAAACCAATGAACAAAGAAAGTCTCTGCGCTGCTTTGAGCCGAAGATATTTGGTTCGACGGCGCCATCTGTAGGTTTAACTAAAAAGTATCGAAACGTAACTTGTTTTTGTAAAACAAATTTTATCTTTGAGCCAAAACAGTTGAAGGGACTTTAATAATTGCAATTGAACCCTAATACGGCAATTGTTTTACTTTTACCATAATAAAGAAACATAATTTTAACTATAGACATTTCCTGTAAAGGACAAGTAATTAAGAGGCATTTTGTTCAAATTCAGATTTTTTTTCTTCTTAGTGTTCTTATGACAATATTCTTTACCACAAACTTACTGCACCTTGTAGGTGCCCTGGTGGGTTGCAGTCCTGTGTGGATACAGCAGAATCTACCAGACAAGTGTACTGCAAATACAATGCTGTTGCTCTTAAAAAAAGGTAGTTTTCCACAGCAATACTATTTTAAACCTATTTATTTCCATATTAAAAAGTAGTTTTCCACAGCAATGCTATTTTAAACCTATTTATTTCCATATTTAAAAATAAATTGTAGCTAAATCTTCCTCAAAATCATTAAACACATGAAAAACATGTAGGAAAAAAAGTATTAAGTAGTAAAATATTTCCAAAATCATTAAAAAACATGTGGGAAAAAAGTATTAAGTAGTAAAATATTTCACCACAACAGACACAATGAAAACATACTCAAAACTTAACAAAATGTGAAACCTTTATTTCAGATTTCATTTTGTACAAAATAACCCCTCAGTGAACACTAAGTGCATCTTGGAATGCTTGTTGGTGAATGGACCCAGAGGGTTGTCCTGATTGCTTAAAAAAATGAATGCTCTTCTGGTGCATTAAGATGGCAGCCACCGGTGCAGAAATCCCCCACAGCGCCTCCTCCAGGACATTGACTGATTCAACAAGGTGGCCTGCATATTTTATCCCCTTAATAAGAGTTTCCCCCAAGTCCTGTTAAAGTCCCCTAGCAGCGCTCTACTCCTTGGCCACAGGGAATGGCTTCTCCACAGTGATTTCACCGCAATCGTGGATGGAGACGTCTTTCAGAGGTTTGTCACGGGCATCTGTCTTTGTGCCTTCAATCTTCCTTACAACATCCTGGGGGAATAAAAAGAGAGAAAGATGTCAGTAAAGGTTGTTCAGTAATGGGTTTTGATGAGTTTAAATACTGGCCACTTTTACTTAAATTTGTGTGACCAAACAAACTTCAATTTTGTGTGACCAACCAGAACGGATCAGTCAGACAGTTTGAAATGAAGTTTTTGGTTCTATTCCAGCCAGGTAAACCACAGGGCTGGTTGATGCTAACTTGATCCTAATCCAATGTTATCATACCTAACAACCAGAGAGTCAGACAAAAAGGAGGGGAAATGGAATCACCATGCAGGGAGAAGGCTACATGAGGTTTAATACATTTGTCGTTCAGAGCAGTGGTAAAAATTAAGCATCTCTTTATAACTGCACAGTTTAAAACAAAAACTGAAAAACAACAGTCAGCTCAGGCCCCAGTCCAGCCATTTGTCCAGCTACGACATGATTGCTCAGCAATCACTCTACAATTTGCAGTGTTTTAATTATTGTGCAGTATGTGGAGTGCAACTTCAGCTAAATCCATATAACTATAAGAGATCATACTATGTCATCATACTCACCATTCCCTCCAGTACTTTTCCAAAGACCACGTGTTTGCCGTCTAACCATGGAGTCGCAACTGTGGTGATGAAGAACTGAGAGCCATTAGTGTCTTTGCCAGCGTTGGCCATGCTGAGCCAACCAGCGCCGTAGTGCTTCAGCTTGAAGTTCTCATCAGGGAAACGGTCGCCATAGATGCTTTTGCCTACAAAAACAAAAACCCAAAAATATCAAACCCTGGTGACCTGATGGTTAGTAATGAATAAATGGTTGGACTGCATGTTTTAATAAAGACGCATGTAGTGAGTTTGTTATCCATTGTATCAGATATTGTCAGGTTCTTACCTCCAGTACCATCTCCTCTGGTGAAGTCTCCACCCTGGATCATGAAATCCCGGATGACCCTGTGGAATTTGCTGCCCTTGTAACCAAACCCTTTCTGTGCAATTGGAATAAAAAATAAACAAAAAAGAAACAACACTTGAGAGATATTCAGGTCATGTTAGGTCACAGTTGAAAACCCACGTGGGTCACATGATAGTCTGTGTTTGGTAAAGTACAGAGAAACTTCAATGATAGTGAAAAAAAAGGTTCATGTTCAACTGAGCCATGGTTTATTTATTTCCTACTCAGCCAGCCAGGCCCAAACTGATGAAACTGTGCAACTACTGTGTGAAAGGATGTCTCTAAAATTCCTCACCTCTCCTGTTGCCAGTGCGACAAAGTTTTCAGCTGTTTTAGGAACAGTTTTCCCAAGCACACCGATGACAATTCTTCCTGCGTCCTCATCTCCGATTTTGATGTCAAAGTAGACCTGTAAAGTTATGCAGAGTTTTTAAACTTTCATGGACTTGTAAGGAAAACACAAAAAAATCACAATTTGCACGTTGATCTTAAATATTTTAGGGCCTTTACTTCTCATATTCTTTAAATTAGTTGGAAGAAGTTACAATGAAAACAATTGCATTCAGGGTAATCAAAAGTGAGGGTAATTAGCCAGGTCGATTATGGAGTTGCACTTTTTTTTTTTAATTGTTTCTATACATATATTTACATAAGACGAGCTGCTGACAAGCATTTGTAATGAATTTGAGCAGAGGCTTAAACTACATGCCCCCAGGTTAATGAAACTGCTGGGCCTCCATTCAAAGCGCCCGTGGGTCCATTCAAAACTTCCTGTTAAATGTAGACGTGGACAAACACTGTGCTGCACCCTGACCTCTGCTGACCCGTAGCATTGTGGCTGAAACCCACAGTTAATACATAAATCAGAAACTGAAATGACTACAGAGATGTGGAGTCATTTAAAGTCATGGATACATCGGTGGAAATAAGGCCTGAGAACAAGAGACTGGAGCCAGCACGGCTAAACAAATGATCGTCCTTCCAAGAAAACAGTCTGTATCTCTGTTCATGCACAACTCTCTAAATTGAAACGTTAAATATTTTCCTAATAAAAGGACATATGTCAGAGAAGCCAGCCGTTAGCATGGGCTGCACAGCTACACGCTCATTGAGAGTGACGTGGCTTTATAGGCAGTTAGCAGCTAGCTGCAGTGCAGCGCTAGGATTTAAGCATCAGCCGCAGCGTCCCTACCTTGGTGGTCACTTTAGGGCCTTTCTTCTTGTCGTCTGCGGACGAGCCATTGGGAAAAGCGAGGAAAATCAGCGACCCCACAATGACCGTGACAGCGACGAGAAACTTCATCCTCCTGTCGCACAGTCTAATCATCAACAAGGGGAGAAAAACGGCTTGGTAGTCGTGGTAGCTTTATACGTGCCACGGGAGGGAGGGGTGGCAGCAGAGAGAGAGAAAGAAGGTCCGGGGTGGAGACTTGCTGCATCGGCCTCTCTGTACACCAAGCAGCGGTGAAGCGCCGCTGGAAAGTCGACCAGTGCCAGTGACGTCAGCACGGGATTGCGTTTAGACGACAGATTGGTTCACGTACCAGTAGGCTTCAGCCAATCAAATGTGGACGCGTACAAAGCGATCCCACCCTTTGGCATGGCGCGGACAATATACATGAGTGAACGCATTGATTTATGAATTAAACTACAACAAGAAATTATATATAGAACTTATATAAAATAGACATTTATGGTAATTTACTGTATGTTATTGAAGAAAAATAATTAATTCAATACTATATTATGCCATGTGTAATAGTAGAAGTAGGACAGTACAGCCAACTTTTTACTGTCTATACACCTTTTAATGGAAAACTACTTGTACATGTAAATGAAACACACCATTAGTAAATGTTAAAATCATTTAAAAAAAAGAAATAAAAACTTGAATAGATTGTACTTGCTGAAAAAATGTGTAACAGGATTGTGTTGAGGAGGTCAGGTGGGTTACATTCACCTATACAATGACTCCTGCCATCTCCCACTAGTGCAAAAGACTGAATCTGTTAAATGCCCAGTATGTCTGTGACACGTTTGCAACGATGCAACGATTCCTATTATTATTGCCTTTAGTGGCCACTGTTCTTGGGAAGCAAACACACTGTGCAGGTTTTTACATACTGTAAAGCTAACATATGGGCAAAGACATTCAGAAGATGTGAGCTACCAACAGTTTAGTGTACTTACTAAATTAGCTTTTGAATCAACAACAGACAACCCAAAAACACATGACCAACACCATATATTTTTAAAAAAAAGGATTTGTGCACCATTGCTCTTCCACATGATCAACTAAGTATTTGATCACTGGCCCAATCTAACTACATAAACGAGACCCTTTTGAATTAAGACTTGTCAAATTCAAGGTGTCTTTGCATTGGATATTCATAATGCAGAGCAAGAAACAGAGCTGCTTTGGGTTGTGTTCTCGCTGAACTATCTTTGTAGTGGGAGCGTTTGGATTCAAAACAGAGAAGACAGCAGCTTTCACACATCTATTTTCATACCAGTAGAAACATGTAACATAAATGTCAAGTATATGGGTGAAACAGAGAGCCATGGCTAAGTCAGTGCTCCTGTGTTCTGAGGAAAGCTCATGAGAAATACCCGCCGAGTGTATCACTATGTAAGACGTTCACTGCCTTTTCAATACAGTACTAGTAGCCTATGTGTTTGTGTCCAAATGTTTGGGAACTGTTAAGAGTTCTCTTGTTACAGACCAGAGATAAGGAAACACATAAAAACGCATAAAAGACTGAAGCTGCTCTGCTGGTTCTGGAAATAAGACGATATAAAAGAAAATCAATAAGAAAAAAAAGCTAATTTTTGGTAAATATTTCCCGTTTTTTTCTTTTTTTTCCCACAAACCTTTCGAATTTCAGTGTCAAACAGCAGCAAAAACATAAAAAATTCATAATAAAGAAGGTGAAACTTCATATTTGGATAGATGTGGTAAATAAATCTCTCAATAAAGGTTCTGAAAAAGTTCCCAATTTAGCCATCTCTAGATCAATACAGTTGGCACCTGTGGGCTTTTCCAATTTTGATGAGAGTCTATGGTGTAAATGTGTAGTTCACATGATTTTAATGCACACATTTTAAGTTGTTTTGGCCCAAAACCAGGAATAAAGGATTTACAATAATGTTATTTTGCCAAGGCACAGCATATTAAAGATATGCAAGACAGAGTATGTTAGGTTAGCCAGGAGAACTCTTTGGAGTTGGTGAAGATGGCTTTTATCTGCACCGAGTGCATAGAGACGGACCGCCTGGGTCCAGTTCTACCTCTGTTTCTGAAACCAGGACCTACCAGAAAGGAATTCAAACTATCACCACTGGTCACATTCTTAAAGTGAGATGGCACAGACCCGGTTCTGAACACGGAGGTTTGAAGAATTTCAGAAACACAACTCTTCAAGTGGACCTCTTTGAAAGGCCACAGACACCTGTAGTTACAATTTTAAGACACGAAAAACACTTCACAAGAACTGATCTATCAGTAACTCTGAGTAAACGAGTCCTTCAGCAGAGATGGCGTCCCCAAGTCCAACTGTCCGAAGTGGGTTCTTACAGACCAGCACCGGAGTGAAGTGGAAGACAACGTTTCCACGTCGCCACACTGTAACAGGCTCGGTGGGGTTCAGGACCAACTTCTCTCGAGGTTCAAAGTGAGAGCTGTAAAACTCTCGCGGTGCTCGAAGCTCTACTTTGGTAACATCGACTGTCTGGAGTCCACAGGCCTGACTACTGGCCACTCGTGCTCCAGCCATCACTGCCTCCGCCTGGTTGCCCCAGTATTCATCCACCGTAGCCAGGATGTGGTAGGCCAGGGTGTGGAAGTGGATGCGTGTTAGGTCTGCTTCAGAGGCGGGGTCGCTGCGGCCGTGCTGCTCCAGGATCCAGTGGAGGATGTCGCTGACGCAGCCCACGTCTGGAATACCATCCCAGGCAGCCATATCTGCATGAGGTCCATCACTGGCCTGAGAGAGGAAGAGCAGCTCCTGCTCATTCAACCCGATGGAGCTGACAATAGGAATAACCTGCTAACAGGAATCAGAAAAAAAGACTTAAATACAGACACTTATTTATAATCTACAGAATAACGGGCACTCCTAGTTTCATCGAGGAAGACCTTCACATGTACCTCCTGCATGATGCTGTTCATATACTCTTTGTCAGTCATGCTTGCCAGCTCCAGGTGAATGGGAACGGCCTTACGAATGTAAGCGATCGCTGACACAGCCTGGAAAAAAAAACGTAGGTTGAAAACCTCCATTTTCTACAAAGAACACAGTGTGAACATCCACTGTCAAAATGCACAGTAACGACTAAAATCCAGGTAAATTTAAAGGTTTGTATTATTTTCTTGATTATAATTATTCCAGTACTTGGATTAGTTACAAATAAAACAGGTGCAAAACACATCCATGTACATGCTGTTACTTGTCTTTCTGTTTTTGTCATATTTAGAACAGTTGACATCTATCAATTAAACTGTGATTAATCGACAGTTACCATGTGAAGTGAAAATGGACTCATTTGACAGGCCTACTGTATACACTGTTCATAGTGACAAAAAGCTACAGCAGAGTTTCCAATTTTGTAGATTCAACTCAAGCCAAAGACACCTGACCTCCTTCAGCCGCTCCTCCCACAGCTCCCTCCCCTGACCCTCCATCATATGGAGTCCCGACAGGACGACCAGGTCGGGCTGGAAGTCCTCCAGACTGACAATAAAGGTCTCCAGTGAGCTCATTTCCCCGTTGGAGACATCGTGAGAGAAGATGAAGCGGTTGGCCTGCGGTGCCCGGGTTGAGCCCCACTCTTCTCCTGGAGACACAGGAGGAGAGAACGAAGCAGTTCTTCACAGTCATGTGGATACATGTGGCATTTAACCCAACGGCTGCAGCGTCATCTGGTTTCTACCTGCTTTATATTCCAGGATGAGGTGAAACTCGTCTGTCTCCTGCAGTGAATCTGGAGGAACCACGATCTGTTCGTCCAGCATCTCATGAAGTTTAGGACCAACTGGTCCACATAACAGAACCTGGGGAATGACATATACACACAATAACTGAACTGAACTGAACAACTGACTTAACATCTCTTTATCTCTTTTTAATTTTTAAATTAAAATTGTGAGAACATGTTTAACATCATTAAAATGCATCAAGCAGATGAAAACAAACAGGGCAACTGTGGTGGTCATGTGATCGGCAGGAGCAGCAGTTGACTAGGCTTTGTTTGCATCACTGCTGCCAATCAAATGACTTGTCAAATGCTGTTGTCATTCTGTGTTCTCAGCGACGCCTTGTACATTATTCTGTGCCAACACCATACAATGCCTGATACGCCTTGTTCTGTCATGACAGAACACAATTCCAGTGCAGACAATACTGCAGTATTCCGTGTCTTGTTCTGCCATGACAGAACACATTTCCAGTGCAGACAATACTGCAGTATTCTGCAGTCCTTGTAAGACACAGTGTAAACACACAAACAGTGTGTAGGACACACAACACAACCATCTTTGTATCAGTACTGTGGGTGCCCCAGGGACATTCAAATTTGATACAAAATACACGATCCTTCTTTTTCCAGTTCTGGAATACTCCAGTTAAGGGCAAGGATTTGAACCTGCAATCTTCTGATTACAATGCTGCCAGCTTCCAGCTTAATATGTGAGTCCTAAAAATATTCATTAGATCAGAGGTGTACTTGGTATAGAAGTAGAAGCACAATACTGTACCGCAAGATTGGGATACAAGGCAAATTTCTGGGCAATAAGAGCAGCGTTTCCTCCCACGTACAACTGGAAGACAAAAGTAAAGTCAGTTAGAAACGGTATATAGAATTATTTTAATTAAAAAAATAATAATTTCTTTGCCTTGGCTCCGGGATATTCCGCTGCTGCGCGAGCGATCCTCTGAAAAACCTCGCCATCAGTGAAGAAGCGCTCGGCGGCTGCTCCGCGCCCCATGTAATGAATAAAGGCTTCCTTCAAGTCTTCTTTGGAGTGTAGAACGTCATGATCCCTGCCGACACCGGGGTCTACAGCCATGGCCTGCAGCAGCCCGACTCCAGAGACCACCACATCTACGCAGGCGTTTACACTGGACAAAACAAATATAAGAATGAAAAAAAAAAAGACTGAATATAGAATTTGAACATTGACAATATAATGTCTACTGAAGCATCACAATGTGTGTATAAAACATTATTATTGTCTTATAAAGTAATCTCTCAGTTTTATATTGTTAGTCTTATAAAGTAATCTCTCAGTTTTATTGGATTCTTTTCATGTCAATATGGTCATAAACAGGTAATAAACATTAACTGTTTTATTTTGTTATTAGGAGACATAAGTATAAAGTTACAACAATGACAATATTTGTTGTTATTAATTTATTGAATTTTATTGAATTTTTTTTTAGTTAGAGACCCTCACTTTAATACTGAATTTTTTTTTTTAGTTAGAGACCCTCACTTTACACTGAACCAATTTGGGATTCTACACCTCCGTTATCAGCTCTAGAGTTTGAGCAACAGCAGTGCAGAAATAGACGGTAACTATAAGCGACAGTTTGGAGGTGAACATGAGCTCAGCTCTGTGACTCACCCCACAGCCACTTTGCTCCACTGGCGAGATGGTAAAGTTATCAAAGTTTCCCAGGCATCAGAGATCACCTGCTCCACACGGGTCTGGCTGTCCACACCGGGAGATAGAAACTGAAAAACTGGCATATTGACATAATGCAATATGTGCTCCTGCACGTCTGTCCCACTGTGGTAGAAGTAGCCGACAGATAATGCCAGCAGTGCGGCTGCTGTAGCCGTTTTCCACATGATGCTCCAACTGGCGCCTGTAAAACCTAGCACAGTTAAAGTGTTTTTGCATCAACAGTAGAAACAGAAAAAATACAATGACATTTTAGTTTACAACTATTACTATTATTATATAATAGTTTAACTATTATTATTAAACTGTTAGCTTAAAACAATTTATATAGTGGGTTATTTAACACTTTATTGTGTTGTTCACTTTTTGTGAACACGTATGATCCAACACTTAACTTTTGCTCTATGTACATCGGTTTTGCCTTCTATCATTACAAAAAGATGCTGATAGTTCAATAATGGTTTTTCTGTTAACGTGTACGAAACAAAACATTTGGACAGCCTTAGACGCAAAAGGGTTGCACACGTAAAGGTGTGCAGCACAAAAACAGGGAAGTTGATTCAAAACGGTCGTGTGTCTGCGCCTCAGGGGGCTGCAAGTTCCTGCTAACGTGGACATAGTAGGGTTAGCTCGCAAGCTAACGCCAGCGTTCAGAATGAAATTCGATCTCAGTGCTAATTGGGGCTAATCTGACAATAGCTTCAGCTGGCAGAAGTTTGGATGCTTATTTAAACCCGCGTACAAATTAGAAACACTTTTGAGTGCATGACAGTACGTTCAATTACACAGCGGTTGTTAGAAGAGAAGTAGCACGATAGTTGGCTAAGGACAACACGTACCGACAAGGTGCAGACCTGAGATTCCAAGAAGCAGAAGAGGAGTGCAATTCCTGCGGTTTCACTGACAGAACATGACGGTTGCTGAGCGCTGTCAGTGCTGGCAGATGTACTGACAACTTGGAGTCTGTGTGCAAGTCATTCAAGGATCAGTGAGATTATCTCTCACGCACACGCAGACTTCCGCCGACTGCGCTGCGCAAGCGCGGATCATTTTGTTCTTCTAATTTCAATAAAAATATTTCTCACTTCTGTGCCTCTTTGTCCCGCGTCCACAAAGAAATATTTATTGGATTGCAGAAAAAAGCACCATGCTGATTTAGATGTCAAGTTTTTGGTGGGGTTGTTTAACACTTCTGGGAATGTCCAGCAGATGGTGATGTACGTCAATTCCTCAAGCTCAAACCAATTTGAATTTCAAAGTAGAGTAAGACGTAATGTTACATAAATGCTGTAGGACTTTCCCCCAAATCACAAAAAAGTGAATTCTTAGCTGCTTTTGGACCTTGGGATGAACGCTATCATTTATTCTATTATTAATACTAACAGTAAAAAAACAAGTCAAACACAAAACTTTGGTCTGTTTTTTTTTTTCAAACCCGAAACCTCCTTTAGAAACTTAAACTTTGGAACACCACTTGCAGCTCCATTCGTCAACAAACAGTGATGGGATTGGCTCTGGTGGTCAACTGACAATTTAGCCCAATTTGATTGGCCTGCAGTTAGTGCCGTAAAGAGCAGAAAAGCTGCGCCAGTAAATTTACGAAAAGTACGAGAAAGCGTGAGAATTTTTACAGAATTATCATTTCATGGCCCGGTTGAGTGTTCATGGACCTGTGTCTCTGTTTGAGATTATAAAATAGATTTTGATGCAAAACGATACCGTTGATAACGTGACAAAATCGTGAATACCAACCGCCGTAAAACAGGCAAAAGGAACAGACAAACGTCAGTGGACGCGCTGAAATTCAAAATTAGAGGAGGAGACTGAAAGAGCAGAACAACAAGAAAAGTATTTCCGACTTTCTGTCAGTTAGATTCAATTTATTGCAACACTAAGTCCGTGCGGGCTTTCTTCTCGGGTAAGACCACACATTACTTTCAGTTTTTGTGGCAATACATTTTATTTTGAAAGCTTATGTGTAAGGTAGCCAAATTAGCTTAGAGTAAATTGAAATGCAAGGGTACTAACCATACTTTACGTTATATTAAGTATATATCAAGTTATAAGGTTGTCACAGCTTCACGGTAATTAATTGTGCTAGCTGTGAATGTGGTTTTAAGTAACATTTTATTGTTGTCGCTTTTCGTGTAACGTGGAATGCTGTCGAAACGACCTTGCTGTTTAAGTTATTTTTAGTCGTTTGTCACCAGATGCGGCCTTGGACAGAAGTTTGTGACATGTAAATGAAAAATATGACCCATTTTGCTCGTCATTTACTTTAAAAACACATGCTATATCCGCAATGTGGTTGTGATTTCAGCTCAGTATGGAGGCTGGCCAGGACAACAGTGGTAACCTCAGCATGAAGAGACAGAGAGCTCCTCTGTCAGATTCTGAAGACAACGTCGTCACGTCAGGTTAGTTTTCTTTACTTTGCCAATACGTTTGTGAAATGAACTGAATCTCTTCCGTGGTGTTTTAGTTTTCTGCAGTTTAAATACATTCCTTTACCGTTAAAAATATTAACAAAATTAGAACATTATGATTATCTCCTAATGAAAACAGTATTTGTAGGTGTTAATATCTGCAAATTGCACGTGTGGTCATCTCTATGCATTTTCCCCTTGTACGTCTCAGAGATAAATGATGGCCAGAAACGGAGACGTCTTGAGGCGCCAGGTGTTGAGAACCAAAGCCCTAAACCATCCAATTCGGGGCGCATCGCTGAGCTCGGGATTAAGGCGGATACACCAATAGTTCCCTCGATCTTCTCGCGAGTCCAACAGCTCACCCAGAGAAGAGAGGGTAGGAAACACTTGAACAATGGTTCTAAACAAACTTTTGAAGGTTTTAGTTTCTGTGTGTTCACTTTTTACCAGGTTTTTTTGGGCTGTTCTTAGTATTAGATGTTATCTTTATAGCCTCCTAACAGCATGTGATGTTTTAGGAGCTCCACCCACCCAGAGGTGCCTGTCAGACCCAGGTAGTGACAGCATAACTAGCATTCATGACCAGGATGTCAAGGCGCACCTTCTTGGTGAGTATGATTCAATACTAATATATAATAAATCGTTTTGTACGTTTAAATCACAGAAATTGTGTGTTTTTTTTTCAAACCAGGTGAGACGGAGTTCAACCAGCGACTTGAGCGATTTAAAGTACCGGTGTTTGAGCCTAGTCCCACGCAAAATTCTGCAAGCTGCTCTCGAACTCGCTCCAACTTTGTATCTGACATCCATCAGAAACTCCAGGGCGACACCACACCGAGCTCCAAGCAGGCTTCTCGTATGCGACAGGTGGGGAAAATCATTGTCCAGGTCCACTTGTATAGATATATTAAAAACCCGAAAGACAAAGTAAAGTCGTTTTTATTGTTTTATCTGTTATCATTAGGAACGGGAGCAGGAATTGAGCAAGTTGCAATTCCAACCAATCAGTGAGAACGCCTGGCTGAAGAGGAGCAGTTCTGATTCCTCAGTGACGCAGGTGGGCTTCGTTTTATTTTTTTGCCTCACCCCGTGTTGGTTCTGGACTTCTTGAAATCTTTGTACAATTTTTTTTTTTTTTTCTTGAAATCTTTGTACAATATTTTATTTTTTTGTATTAATTGTCCATCTAGAATACACACAATAAATGTAAAACTCCCGAATGTGTCGTTATATTACCTTTACTATGAACAGTTTTCTGGATTTGGTTTTCCAAGAATTACAAGAATTACTATCTCTTATTATATTCTTGATTTTGTGAACATGAGCAGGTTAGGACTCCTCCTGGTTCTTCATCTCCCTCATCGGTTCCTAGATCTAGAAGGAGAGTTCAGTGGCCTCCTGTACAGCCCTTGGATGTGAGTCAGGTGTTGATAAAAAGAAATTGTGGTGCACATGGGCAGTATTGTAGGTTGTACTGTATCTTAAAATGATACTTCAGTTTAAGTGACACCAGCCTTCAGATAAAGCTGACATTTTTAAGGAGGATGCAGTGCAACACTGTGGTGGTTTTCTGGAGTAGTGGGCTGTTTTTTTCCCCAGGGTGTGTACGGAATATTTTTTGGGCTGCACATGTTCTCTCCTTCTTATTTTCGACTCTATTCTTGCCTCGTTTTTATAGAATTTCATAATTTGAAAATGGAAAAACTATATGACAAAACTTTTTCTCTCTTTTGTTGTGTTTGCAGGCTGAGAGTGAAGCAGAGATCAGAGATGGAAGCTTCACTGAGACTTTATCTTCAGTGGCTGATCATTCACAGACAGTTACAATAGGTAAGACTTGACATCATATTTTGGTCACCTATGAAAAACACACATTCACAACTATTGCTGTACCTCTTAGGGTACCTGCCCCCCACTTTGGGAACCACTGGCTAAATGATACTTCTCTTCATGATGGAAAAGTTGTCAAATCTGCTTTATCATTATAATTGCCTAATTAGGTATTTTGTAATAATGCTTTTTTTTCTCATGCTCTATGCATGTCTCATCACAAATTTAAATAGTTTGATACATTTAAACATTTAGTTCAAAGTGTATGAGACTGATGTGTCAACAGGTGGGAGAGCAGCTCCTGACCCTGAAGCCCCATCAGTGTCTGTAGGTCAGCTGCGGATGCTGTGGAAGGAAGGAGTTGAGGAGGACAAAGATCACAGTGTTTTGGTCCAAAATGAAGAAAAAATGCTTGTGTCTCAACAACAACAACAACCAGAGACTGTAGTCAAGTTGTCTTTTGGTGAGGATCAGAAAGTGTCAGTCGAGGAGGCCAGACTGCTAGAGTTAACCCCCACTGACAAGTTGAACAAAAAAGACACCAGTGGAGAGATCGATTTATTTGAAGATAGTGACCATCAGATGGACAGTTCTTCATGTGACGAGGAGATGATCGAGCCGTCAACGGATGAGGAGTTAAAGATGTGGAGGTATCCCAATTACGTGAGGCATGAAGAGTCCGTTGTATCAGAAGAGGAAGAGGTGGAAGAATTAGCTGTAGGGAGAGAGGAGAAAGGAGAGGAAGAAGTCAGTGTTTTAGATCAGAGTCAAGTGTCTGTAGTCCAGAGCATGGAATCTTACTTGGGTGACGTTTCAACTGAGATCCCTAGTTCTTGTGAGGTACCGAAAGATTCTTCACTATGTAGAGAGCAGGTAACCACAGAGTCCTGTAATGGATGTAATCAGGACATGATTAATGGAGATGATAGTAATGTTACAGTATCACCAGATCAGAAGGACATAGAAGGATGCACTGTGGAGAATGACAAATGTTGTGAACAGTCAGAAGATACGCAGACATTTACCGATGATGAGAAACAGACAGATCTGTCTTCACACAGCAGAGAAGAGGAGATGTCAAGATGTCTCACTGTAGATGAGACTCCAGACGAAACCCCGACAGTTGAACTAGATCTTCAGAAAAATACTGGAGACACAGTGCATCCAACAACAGATAATCTAATAGACATTTGTGATGATCCATCTCTTTGTCTGACAAAGTCAGAAGTGACAGACACAGTGGCAGAAGGAATTGATAAGAAATGTGATTGCTCAGATGATTTGTTAGTAGAAAGTTGCAAAGCAGAGGAGGGAGAGAACTCCAAGAAAGTTACTTTCATGCTGGAGCCTGAACTGATCAGTGGTTCAGGCCTGTGTCAGGCCAGCACCTCTGAGGAGCCCAGAGCAGAGACGAGCCTGTCAGGTAAGGACAGAAATAAGACCGACATGTGAGCACTGGGCTGCATCAGGGCTGGTGGACCAAGATGGTAGAAATGGTGGCACAGAAATCCTCTATGTATTATAATTGTATGTATGTGTATAGGAGCACATATATACATATATCGATAAACAGTATGTAATTTATTTGTGTATATATGTATATGAGACACATGGTGCCTTTACTGTCCTTGGCAATAGAACGAGTGTTTGATAAATACATTTCGACTCATGGATGCATGTGAAACTGGGCGAGAGCACAATGGAAATATGGTATAAATACTGGCGATATCTCTTCGGTACTATTTTTCTCATTCACCCTTTCACAACTGTTGCTTTATTTCCGCAACTGAAAGTAATGTGTGAGTTTTTGTGTTTCAGATGTTGAACTGAGCTCTCATGACGACACCAACACTAATGAAATCATCGATCAGATGTTCGAGGAGGTGCTAGAATACGCTGGCAGGATGGAGGACCAGAGACGGGGAGGAGATGAGGACGCGGAGGACGGTGATAGTGGCATAGGTGCGTGCATGGGAGACAAAGACAAAATGGACACTGATTTTGAGAAGGAGCCAAGCGAAGAAGAGGGCGAGGCCAAAGAGGAGTGTGAGGAGGGCAACGGAGACGAGCTACTCACTTTCCCTCCCAGCGGCATTCTCTCACCTCTGAGCAAGTCTGTGGAGGCCGTGGTCACCCCGCTGGTAAAATAAGTTGGTTACAGCATGGTGTAACAGGTAGAGAGAATATGGGGGAAAATGTAAATGAATGTTCTGTGTTTCACCAACAGCGGTTAGCAGCCAGCCAGGAATCAAATCCTCCATCTCTGCTCCTGACTCCTGAAGAAAACCCCGCCCCTCCTGTTGAATCTGCTCCTCTCTACAGGTACAGATCAAATCATCTTCACAGTCATGTCTGTGAGTTCTGTTTGGAAAAATTCCAGATTAAATTCTTGGTAATAAATAACCTGTGGTGGGAAAATATTTTTGACATGATAGAGCACAGGAATAATGGATGGATCACTTATGAAGATATATTATGTGATATGTTGGTAATTTGTTGTGTTGACAGTGTGGATGCCTATCGCACACAAAGACAGTGTAAGATGCCCACCGCTCAGAGCGCCACACCCGGCGTACAGAGGCGAGCTCCAGATAAGACGCAGCCTCAACGTTCTGTCAACACCAAGGAGAGAATCACGGTGTGTGTGTGTGTTTGTGTGTGTGAAGCTCATCAGACAATTCACTGTTCAATGATTCCTCACAGACGGTAAACTTTGACCCTTTTCAGCAGCCTGATGACAGTGAGCATGTTCTGCGGCTGCTTCAAAACTTGTAGAGAATATTTGTTCCAACCTAATAATGTTGGTCTCTGTGTGAGCAGGCTCTTAATGAGGAGGCAGGGAAGCTGCAGACTGTGATCAACCAGACCCTGCAGGCTCTCAGCTGCTGCACTGATGAGGAGCACGGGCGAGGCTCACTGGAGGAGGCTGAGGCAGAAAAACTTCTGCTGGTGTCTTGTACGTGGTCTCCAGGACTTATCCCTCATCTGTGTACGTAATCTCTGCTGTGTTTTCTACATTGATTCTCTATCATTGTGGTTGACAGGTGAGAAACGCTCAGCTCTGCTGGCAGAGGTTTCCAGACTGAGACAGGAGAGAAACTTAGAGTCTGGAGAAGCAGCAGGAAATGACGAAGAGCAGGTTTCCCAGCAGCCCTGCAGAGGGACTGTCAGCATCACTAACATCCAGCTGCCACTGAAGGTTGAATTTGTCTGTTCCTCCCACAGCCGGACAGGTAACAACAACAACAACAACACAACAACAGTTAAAACTGTTTGTTGTTGGAATGCAGTTTTGTTAATCTTCATTTAAAATGAACATGTTTAATGCTCAGGTCGACCGAGTCACTACTTCTTCATCCTGATCCGCTACGGGCCCTGCAACATCATCGCCACCCCACTGGCCACAGCTGCTGATGCTCAGAATGGAGACACTATCTCCTTCCCCACATCTGTCACTCTGTAAGCAGCGCTTCAGCTAATGATTTTTTTTTTTAAATTATTGCTTCAGGTTACAGAACTGGAGGTGTCTCTATGAAGTTGGTTTTGTTATAGAGTGTTATGTTGAATTAAAATGACAACTTTTCTCTTTGTGTTGCAGGAAGGACATCCGCTCATCATTTGAGATCGATGTGGAAGTCTACAGTCTGGTAAGACTTACATTGATGTTGTCATTGTTAATTATTTAGATACATTTTCTCACTAGAGGGAGCCCTAGTGCCAACATCGGTGCATGTACTTGTATTTTGACTCCTTCATAACAAACCTATCATTGTCCCATCCAGTCCCACACTTCAGGTGGAAACTGCAGCACCGACCGCGGCACCACCAAGTCACGGGTAAGTGGAATCAATTCTCTCAGACTCTAATCCATTTGAGTATGAACAGATTTTCAGATCATCAGTCTGACTTTTTCCACACACTCAGGTTACGCCAAGAAAGTTACTAAACACCATTACAGTGAGTATAGATATTTATCTAATATCCAAATACTATCATTGATGTATGTGTTATATTGTACGATTTAAATCTTTTTAATTTCATCATTGATGTATGTATGTGTTGTATTGTACGATTTAAATCTTTTTAATTTGTTTTTTTCCCCCACAGAGATCCAGTAACACTCTGACAAGTAAGTCCAGATCATAAATATGTTTACAAAAGTGCTTAAAGATAATTCTGGCTTTTAGAGGTTCACGTCTCTAATGAGATTTATTTCTCGACTTACTTTCTCTCTCTTTCAGCTGCTACACTGCCTGCACTCAACACCAGACGCTCCAGCAACTTTTGTCTGGTGGGCTCCCATAAGCTGACCCTGACCTCACTGGGGCACAGCAAGTTTCCTCTGGATAAGGTAATGATATAAAAAGAAAAGTGTGTGAATGAAAAAGATTGGGTCTGCTGAATTTTTTAAAGCAAATATTTTAACCAAAACATTAAAAAAACACATTACATTTGAATTAAATGTTACCTTAATGAACCAAAGCAAATATTTTAACAAAAACTTTGAATTAAATGTTACCTTAATGAACCAAATGAACTCATCTGTGAAACTTCGATTCAAAAATGTTTCAGGGAAAATGTGAATGTTTTGAAGAAACATGTTTTCAGCTCAAATCCTATAACGACAGTCACTTGGCTCTGCTCCTTTTGGCATCCACTGTATTCTTCTGCTCTGAACCTAATACACCTGGGTGGGTTCACTGGTGATGTAACGTGTCTGTCTCCCTCCCCCTGTCCTTTCTCTCCCTCCGTCCCTCCCGTTGAACTTCCTCCACTCAGATGAAACTTGAAGGCAAAATCAGGAGACTGCTGGGAGATGAGTTTCAGGAAAAGGTTTTCACTCTCTTTTTTCTTTTTTTTTTCAACCAACACTGACACCTTCACCCTCTCACATTTCCTTCAGCCTTTGTTGCACCTATTTTCAAGCACTTTTATAATTTAGCTAAAAAGGAAAAGTCAGTTATGTTCTTGTTGTTGTATGGCTCCAGTAGTTAGAGCAGTTTTTTTCCCCTGGGTTTTGAACATGACATCATTCTAACAGGGCGTGCTGCTCTTCTCCCTGCTGTAGGTGCCCTTTCTCTCTCCTCTAGAGGGCAACATCTATTTGCGGTTGGACAGCCAGGGTCACTCCAATGTGCAGCACCAAGGATTCCTGGTCAGTGATTTCTGGTCTTTCTTCTATGAAAATGAAAACATTTATACTTTACACAAAAAAGGGCTTTTATCAGTATTTATTTTTAATCTAAAATGAACCAGTTACTCTGCTAATTTGTGTTTAATACACAGGGATGTCTTTTCATTGTGTCGACTTTATATATAAGTCAAATCTTCAGGAACTTTCACATGAGCTAAACTGACTCAGTGTTGTGGACCAATGAGCCTCTGTTTTATCCCCCTGTTCCACAGACGATGTTTGAGTTGATCAGTGGATACGGGGTGTGGCATCGCAGATATTTTGTCCTGGAGGAATGCAGCTTGTATTACTGGAACCACCCTAACGATAAAGAAACCAAGGTATGACTGTGGAGGCCGAGCGGAGGATTGAGCTCAGTCTCCAATTATTTCTTATTCTGCTGTTTTATTTTTATCTTTCAGAGTGCAGAGGGCTCCATCTCTTTGTCCGGCTCCCTCAGTCAGTGTGTCAGACCCGTCAAGAGGGACTCGTGTGCTCGACCTTTCACCTTTGAGTTGGTCAACAACGTTCCTCATCAGCAGCAGGATGAGAGCCAGGAAGCCTTAGCCAAGTAAGTGACAATAAAACATTTCCTGGAAAAACATCGAGGGCCTCCAGAAGTGTGGGAATGATGAATTGATTTATTGCTGAAATGAATTTTGTTCCTGGTGTTAATGGATTGTTATTAATCCACTCTCCATACGTCAGTGCTGACTGTTGATTGATGAGGTTCACGCTGCCAATTTTAGTTTTGGCAACAGACCTCACTTCACATAGTATTAATGGAATACTCCTGAATACAGTTTTCACTGTTGTGATGAATTTGCTGGGACTTCTTTTTGAATTTTAGCTTTTATTGCAACTTTGAGTAAGTTTCTGTAATGCAGAACCTGTGTCTAATGGCTCTGTAGAAAGAGACTCTCATTTTTCATTTTTTTCAATCCCAAAACGTATCCCCAAGTGCAGTTCCACTTTAAACCAGAGAGGGATAGCTCCAAAAATAAATCGTTTTAGTGTACGGTAATTTTGTAATTTACTTGCTTGTTATTCCATCTGAAAGAAACATCATTTATAATATGAAATTAAAACTCACTTTAACATAAACTAATATTTAAAATGTTGGTTCAAATGACAAAGTTAACTTTTGGCTCCAAACTTAAGGCATTTCCAAAGGGAAAGACATTTAGTGGGATGCACATAGGCTCCAGCAGAGGGTGCTCTAAATGCAGCTCAGCCTTGCAACCTCTGGAGAGCTAATGATAAATCAACCTGTTTACAGAAATAAACAACACAAAAGCAGTGTGTTCTCTGGCTTTCATGCCCCTGTGCTGCATACAAGGTGACCCACATTGGCACAAAAAATCTAAAAAAAAAAAATAAAGGAAAATTTTGTGTATTACATCTGGGTATTTCTTTTAACTGATAGCAAAATTTGTAAAAACAACAACAAAAAAAGAGGCGTAAAACTCGGTGCCAATTGATGTCATCTTTTTTTTTTTGCTCAGGTGCTGGTTCTCTGCTGACACCAAAGAAGAAAAACTTGACTGGATGGAAAAGCTGAACCAGTGTCTTTTGGACTATCAAACCTGGAACAGAACCCCGGCTGCTCAGACTGACAGTCAGCAGTCGAACACCAGCAGCGGGAACCTGAGAGAGAGCATTCTGTGATTCCGTGACCAAACTGACTCACAGATTTAAATCTAATTCTTACAGTGTTGGAGAGGCCTGTGATTGGCTGCCTCTGTTATAGCGTTATAGTCAAGCTGCCAAATGAAGATTGTATGACGAGGTGAATTCAGATAAGGGATAAATGTTGGGAGAGTTTGAGTTTATTTTTTTTAACCTGAATCCAATCAGTCCTGTTGGTTTTTTCCTTTTATTTGATAAGCTACAGTTGCCACTTTTTTTTTTAGTTTTTCAGGATTTCTTGATTTCGTGGAAATCAGTTTTTATTTCAGTTTTTTTTTTTTACAATGGCAATCAGCTGCTTCAGCCGTCGTCGGCACTGGTATAGTCACTTTCAGAAGGTAATGGGAAAAAGTCTATTAAATATCGTGACTTAAATATATATTTTGTGTGAATTACACTACGTGACATTTAGATCCATGTTGTATTTGTATCAGTTAAACTGGAAGGAGAGAGAGATGGAGTATAGACGTACAATAACACTGAAGGAGGAGGGTTCATCTAACCTGCCCTAACTCTAACCCTAACCCCCATGTCCTTATGTTAGTGCACACATGACGACGCCACATGACCTACATACGATGTGAGAACAGGTGATGGGACTGCAGTGATGCTGCAACAATGACTGTTGTCGTTTTAAATGTCATGTCCTGTTGTTTTTCTGTGTTTTCTCCTTTCAGTCTGTCAACTCTGTGAAGTGGTGTTCATGTGAAGTCTCACTCTATGCACTTAATGGGAGCTATCAATAAAATTAAACTGGCTACGACTCGGTTTTCACTCGATGGATTTTACGTCTCATTCCCACGTCCTCCACCAACGTCTTCCTCCTTTACATTTACACACGGCAGAATAACGTAGGAATTAATGGTGGAGACGCTCTCTACATAGGCTGCTGCTGCACAGAGTCTGGCAGGAAACCAGCTCAGGTCAGGAATGTCATTCAGGAAGTAGTCTAGAATTAGACATCCTGTTCGTCCCTGAGCTCCTCTGGGTGGAGACACGGCTGGATGTTATGGTGTTTAAGGTGATGACAACAACAAGGGGAGGAGGGCGGTTGATGTTGTTTCCTGGGACACCACGTGTTGACTTCGATGCCAGCTGTTACGGCGATTTTGTCACCGTAACAGTACTGGGCGGTGGCACACTCTCTTAGACTGTGAGAGATTTATGTAACAAATTGAAATTCACTGCATGATTTGGGTAAAAAAAAATTAGAAAACACAGATGTTTTGAAATTGTAGTCTCTTTATAGTATAGTTTCATATATGTTGGTTCTATATATAATTTATATTTATATGTATATTTATATTGTAAAAAAGTCAGTGGATCAATGTTGTTCTTCTTCTACTGCCCCCTGGTGGCCCTGGTGTCTTTCTGTGACGTTTGACCAAAGATAACAAGAGCTACACAAACATCTCAGAAGTCACTCTTTCTGAAGTTTGTTTTTAAATACCACTCGCACATTTTTATATTGCCTAAGACCACAGCAGAGGACGGTGTGTGTGTGTGTGTGTGTGTGTAAGGACTCCAGCAGTTCACATAAACAAAGTCTTCTTATTGGTTATAGGACACTGATCGTTGGATCCAAATTTGGTTTGACATCAAAAACACCAACAGCTTGAGGTCATTTCCTGCTCTGGTGATGAGCTGATATAAAATATTTTAACTGTAAACACTGAGGCCACAGAGGGCCAGTCCAAGTGCCACGACTGGGCCTCAGGACAGACATTGGACACACTTGATTACGTACGATGTGAGACACTTCTAGAAGTGCCTGGCAGCGGAGGGGTGGTGGCCATGAGCTCCATTAGCTCTTGGCTACATGCTGTTTTCTCCCTTCACAGCACATTGTAGGTAAATGACTTATGCATTATACATGCCGTCTTCCTGTAAAGGCCTTTATTGGTTTATGATCATGAGTCAACGGGGAGATTGTCAGACTCTCTGAAGACTTCAAGGACCGTCAGGGCCACTTCACCCTGAAATGAACCATTAGGCTCAACCTCTGGTTGGTTTGGTCTGTCTTCTTCTCTTGTTTTAGTCCATCTTTGATTCATCTTGATTCGATCAGATTCAGTTTTTAAAAATCCACTTCCCAGAATAAATACTAAAATATAACATCTGTAATTTTGGCAATGATATAATTAATGAAAAACATTTTCTGACTTTAGTATAAGTGCTTAAAACCATTATTTTTCCTGAAAAAAAATATTGATCTGGTAATGGCCTAGTAATAGTAATAAATCAGCCTTTGGTCGATACTTCTAGGATCCAAATCTCTGCTACCAATTAATCTGCTAATGAACTAATTTCCCAAACTGTAATTTCTTCATTTTAGTTGAAATTGAGCATTTATTTTTATAACTATTTTTTAATTAAAATTTTATTTGATGTCTCATTATGTTCAAACATAAATTGTGTTAATCAGAGTGTTTTGTAACTTTACTTCTAGGAGATCGTTTGCACAATTCCCTTTTACATTATTATGCCACTAATTCTTCGTTTCTCCTTTTCTTCTCCCTAGTTTTTTGTACTTTTTATCCTTTTATATCATTGAACATATAAGGTTTTCTAAATTAACTTTGTCTTGTCTCTGGGGAAGTACGACTTAGTTCAGTGTAGATATATTTTTTCCTTCTTGGAAAACTGTTTTCCAAAGATGTTTCCAGAGCCTTCCGCAGCGTCACATGGTCGTCAGGAGCAGCCTCCCCAGTTGTCAATGAAGTAAAAATCAATAAATTGACATGTGAGCTCAGTGGCTGTGAATAATTTAAACATCTGATGGTGTCCATGGTTGGACAGACTCTCAGTCCACAGCGTCCACCTTCACTCAGTGTTTTATTTACCATCTGTTCCTGAACGCAGCACATCTCCCTGCTCCCTCCCTCCCTCCCTCCCTCCCTCTCTCTGCTCCGTTCTCTCCTCCCATTTCCCCCTCCTGCATTAGTCTCTTCCCTCTCCTCCACTGACCACCCGCTCTCTACCTCCCTCCCCCGCCTCCCTCCTCCTCAGCTCCCACCCTTTCCTGCTGGCCTCACAGCAGAGGATGTGTCTGGGGTGAGAGAGTGTGTGTGTGTGTGTGTGAGTGAGGAAAAAGAGGGAACGCCGTCACTAGAATGGATTTGTGCCCTCAATCCTCCACCCTCCTTTCTCCTCCTTCACCCTCTTCTGCCAGTGTCGCACCCCGGGCACGTCCAGTGCCCTCTGCACCTCAGGGAAAGGGAGACTCGTCCTGGTGGATGGGCAGCTGAGAAGTGAACTTCAATGTCAGCAGGAGATCAGAAGAATGGTGGTGACAAACCGAGAGGTAATCACACACACACACACACACACACAGACACACACACACTTTAATGACAGATACCCACTGAAGTCACCTCAGTCTGGTCTGGTCAGTGACTTGGCTTCACTGTCATAGAAATGAATGAACTCATGGCCGTCCACTGGAGTCAGGTGATGGACAGAGTGATGTTCTGTCGTGTTCAGTTGTTGATGACTCTTGTGTGGAGCTGCACTGGCTCTGGGTTACACGCTGAAGTCAGTGTCATCCACCCTGGCTGAAACGGAGGTTCCTTCCTGCTCCACTTCCACAAACAAACAGACTGGACTGCGTCCAATCCTTAAAGATACGACCAAACAGACACGAGCTGTGAGTCTCTCTGAATGTTTAAACTTTTAGCTCCTGTGACTGAAGTAGCTGTTGCCACAAGGTTCGTGGTGTGTGATGCTTGCTGATGATGTTCAAATGTACTTTATATTAAAGGTTTTACGGAGCTGAGCAAGGTCAATTTCAGCATTTCAACCCCAAACATATTTTGCTAAAGAGCTCCTTTAGGAAAACTGGAAGTTTGATTTTGAGCTAAAATCTAAATAAGGTGGAATAAAATTCAAATGTACTTAAAACAAAGTTGGTTTAAAAAAAGAATCACTTCAATATTAATCATAGAAACTATGGAAAAGTCTAGAAAATGGTTGGAAATATGTAAAAAAAACCTCAGATTCAAATGCATGAAAATGAAACTACACAAAGATTAACTTAAAATACTTAAATCAAGTGAAATCGCTGTCAGGTGTGACGAGTTGGAGCAGCGGCAGGTAATTAAGGAGGCGAGAAACACAGACGAGTTGGAGCAGCCGCAGGTAATTAAGGAGGCGAGAAACACAGGACAGGAAGTAAAGACGCTGGAAACGAGACTATCAAAATAAAACAGGAAGTGCGGAAATCGATGTTTTTACGAATGTTTCCTCTACATGTTTGAAATGCTACTGAAAGTCAGAGGTCATTGCATCCAGTCACCCCACCCTTGCCCTTGGGGCTAGAGAACTCCCCAGGATGATCAGTGAGGGACTGCTCTCCGTCCTTTGAGCAGCTGTGGTTTTCCTCTGTGCTGTGACAGCAGCAGCAGCAGCAGCAGCAGCAGTCGTCTTCCTGACCCTCACCAGGGTTTACAGTTACAGAGCTGCTGCAGGTGCTGAAGTCTTTGATTTAGTTTCAGCGGAGCAGCTACGCTCATGCTAATTTGACATTTTTAAAATTCACAACACACATACACACTGATTCATATCAATATGGAAACCCTCTGCGCTAATTACAATATCAAAATACAGACCTTAGAACATAATACACTCTGAAGTGTAAAAACAAAAAAAAACAAACAAATTCCTGCTCCTCGGATGACTTCAAATTCAAAGCTGCTGAATCACAGTGCTGTGATCTCAGGTCAATGTGAATCACATACAATTGCTGTGCTGAAATTAAACTAATTGTAATTGCCTCAATTTTCATATCCATTGTGATAAAGTCATTGTGAGAAAGTGATATAAATTGAAATCACAAATTATTTAATCCAATTGAAGCATTCATTAATTTCTAAAATATTCCAAGGGACCTTGACCTACGTCCATTGTGTTGCTCAGCCTCTTGTGATCCACTTGGGTCTCAACACACTCATCTGTGCCCTGGACCCCAGAGACTGCTGTGGACTCCTGCCCCTACGACACAGCACATAACTCCCTGCTGACTCACCATCACCAGCTCATTATTCAGTTAAGTCCAATTAGGCGGTGGAATCCAAATGGACTCATCGTCATGTGAGTCGTGTAGCCGACAATCACGTGACAGAAACGGCTCGTGTTTACCTGACAGCAGAGCCTGGCTGCTGGCTGCTGTAAATGTATCCCCTCCATTAGGACACGCTGATGTGTTTGACGCAGACCCTGCTGGATATCCTGTGTCCTGCACGTCGATAATGCTGCTGCTCAGCATGATAAGAACTATCTGTATTTGTAGGTATTGTGGACGGTCAGTCCCACCGTGAGCAGTGACAGTGACAGAGGGCACGGGCGACAGCGCTGCAGTGAGGAATGGATTATATTAATAATACATAACTGTTCCTGACAGCTGGGAACAAACTTGATTACAGTTCACCGAGTCTTATTTCTAAAAAATGTTCTTTCAGGCAGAGCAGCAGAGTGTGTAGAATTAAGGATGCTGGCTGAGTAACTGAACCTCATTGGCAGATGATCACAGCAGCTCCAGCCTTATTCTCATCCAGGAGTTTTAAAGAATTCAGTTCCTTGTACTTTTACGTGGTTCTATGTATGTAAATGTGTAAAAGAACTGCAGTTACAAGGGGTTCCAAGGGAACAAGACCGTTAATTACCAATAGATTAAACCTCTACGCTGATGATGTTTCTCTTTATCTGAGCAATCCTTTAAATGTGAGCAATGTAAACACCATTATATTTGTGATAAAATCACACTCTGGAATATGGAGATGATGAATCGTTATTTTTTTCTTCCCTTGTTAGCTTAGCAGGCCATGTAATGCCAAGTAATCATAGTGTGTATTTTTCACAGATTCATTTCCTTAGGCCATGTAATGCCAAGTAATCATAATCATAGTGTGTATTTTTCACAGATTATTAAAAATGTGATTTTTCAGCAAAGTTGTTTGTATAGAATTTGGCACAAGTCACCAATGAGAAGTAAAATTGTAGCCACAGACAAAAAATCTGACAAACATGAGCGGCCTGCGGCCATGATTTACCACTGACTGACTGTCAGCTGGTGAGAATGTGGATAAAATCCTTGTTGCTATTTCACTGTTTACTGCAAAAAAATATTATGTTGTGATTCAAACCTAATGTGAACAGGTTTGAGGAGTTGTTTGTTTTGAAAAGTGGATGTAATTGTCGACAGAGTAAACTATTTGTTCTCCGTCAATAATTGAAATGTTAGCTCAGAATACTTGAGTGTGAATTTTATAGCACTTGTTGTGGATCTTCTCCTGCAGTACATGACTGAGTAGTTTATGGAGGTGTTTTTTTGTGTCTGGAATCTGATTGAGTACAGACAGTCAGTGCTCTGTGACCACAACATTTCTGTAACCGGCCACAGCCTCAGTAGGCTGCTCTCAATGGAGGCCAGAGGGCAGGCATTTAGAACTGATTTTATTTTTGGAACTTTGGAACCACTCAGAGATTCCTGGGTCTGTACTTTGTCTGTACTTATGTAGTTTTCTTGTCCTGATGACCACTGGGAGGGCTGTCAGAATCTCTGGTACTGACAGCAGGGCAACCTGTCAAGTCTGGACCGAGTCCTGCATCACTCCAGGTGTGAGGCCTAAGAACTTAAGCTAGCGGCGGAAGATAAGAAAAACAATGCTGCATCAATACCATTTTTATCTTTATATATTCAACCACTTGTTCTGAACCGTGCAACAAGTAAACTGTCAGAAGTGTTGGATTCTCAAGTTTCCCACGGTACCCGAACGCATCTACTGTGACAGCTGCAATTTCAGCACGACGACTTCATAAACAGGGTACACCTGGCAGTTTGTGCCTTTTATCAAGCCGCTCTGCTCCTCAAGCTAGCGTGTAGCTAACTAACATAAAACTGACAACTTCCGCTTTTTTACTAAACTGATTTGTAGGATTGCCAACATTTTATTGGTAATATATCGTTCAAAGAACGGAAGGAAAGACAGGTGTGCTGTGAGGATGTTAGAGAGTCAACTCAAAGAAGTGAAATAGTAGCTGATTTGTTTCCTCCTCCTCTTGACAGACACGGTGCCGGTCTTTGAGGTGTGGCCAGAGGTGGAGCGGGCCGAGTGTTTGGCCCGCGGTGCAGCACTGAAATGGGCGTCGGGCGTTTTCTGTCGGCCCGAACATCTGGAGCGACTGAGCCAGTACAGGAAGAGAGAGAGTCAGAGAACAGCTTCCATACACACCAGGCTTAAGGTGACACACACACACACACACACTGTCCTACATGTACTGTAATAAAAAGACACAGTTTGATCCCATCATCCTCGGCCCTGTTTCTTCCTCCCAGTCCATGGTCCAGTCCTACCTGGAGGGTGTGGGCTGGGGTCTGGAGCAGCTGCAGGAGGCCAGAGTGGAGCTGAAGGAGGTGTCGCACGCCTTAAAGAAAACAGGCCTGGAGTCTGTTGAGAACGCAGGAGGTGTGAAGTCCCTGGAGAGGCTGAGGGAGGTTTCAGTCAACCACCGCCAGCTCCTAGCTGCTGTCAGCAACTTACCTCGGCTTTACTCTGGTGAGAGACACGCACAGTGCTGCATTTGAACTTTTCTTGAATTTTAATTTTCATTACTTATGAGCTCATGGGTAAAGTGTTGGCACTTGTCGGCTTGTTTTTGCAGTCCGCAGCATGGTACTGGAGACGGAGCGTCTGGTGGAGTCCCGGCGACTCCTCGAAGCCCATGCCCGGCTGATGGATCTGGAGCAGTGGCAGGACGACATTCTTTGGCAGCTCCACAGCAGCTCCGCTGGGTCGACTGGAAGTGAACTGAGCAACGAAGACAAAGAGCTCGTGGCCAAATATTTTTCTGGGGTCGGGCAGCTAGTGGACGCCCTGGGTGAGTATGACGTCAGAATAGTCATCGTGTTATTTTAGGTCAAAAGCAGGAAAGACTATACAATACACAGCATTTTGTTCTAAACTGTGCCACAAAAAATGGTTTTCCTTTGTCAACATGCCTTCCTGGGCTAAATTTAGTTACTTGGTAAAAGGTTTACATGAGGGTCCCCCGGGCCAGGGGTGTGCAACCTGTGGCTCCTGACCCAAATTACTGTATTTTCCTAGACTATAAGTGGCTCTGGAGTAAAAGTCGCACCAGCCAGCAAGAGAGACTATAAGGCACTCCGGAGTAAAAGTCGCACCAGCCAGCTAGAGTGCCCTCTAGCGGCTGTCAGTGTGAAAATAACAAACATGTGAAATGATATATTTTAATATATAAGTCGCAAACCCAGTTAAAGGATGAAAAAAGTGTGACTTATAGTCCAGAAAATATGGTAAAATGATGCATCAAAATGAGCAGTATTCTGAGAGGATAACAGACAAGGCTGTACAGGATGTGTTTAAAAATAAAATTTAAACATGAAATATTTTAGCTTACTTGCTAACAGCACAGATCTTCTGCGATTACAGTGAAGTCAATGCAGTTAAATGTCCTTACAGCCCAGCGTTTGCACCGCAGACCTCTGCAGCCAGCATTAACAGCCCAGCTTCCATTAGTCTGCGACCGGCTCTTCCCAAACACAGTCTTATCCTACAGACTTCCTTCAGACAGTCAGTCTACAGCACAGTCACTTCCAACAAACTGTTCAGCGTCACCTCTGGGGCCACATCAGTCCAGCAGCCACGTGCCGGCGCCAGAGATATCATCTGATTTCCGGCTCCTGTGGCCTAAAATATTTGAACTCAGCATTAGTTAGTACTGTCTGGTACTAACTATTAATGTCATTATAATACATTTATAAAAATAAGGGAGAAAATGCTTTCCTCCAGCCTTTAAGGGGGCATTGATAGACATAAAGAAATCAGTAGTTTTAGTAAAAAAAAAAAATAGTATAGTGTAAGAAAAATTAAGAGATAGAAAATCAAAGATGGCAAAACATTTTAGTAAGGAAATTCTAAAAAACATATTTATAATTTTTTTTCTAGTACAGTTGTGAAGCCACTGAATAATTAGCACATTCTAGATTTTGCTGTTTTTTTAATTTTTAATTTTATCCTTAGTTTTATTGATAAATTGTAAAAGGTATCAGTTTGAAGACTTTTTGTCTCAACCAGATACTAACTAATAGTTAGCATCTGGTTGAGAAGGTGAAAGGAACTATGGTTAAATCAGAACACAACAAAAGCCATAAATCTAATCCCATAATAAACAAGGGGAATTAAAGAAAGGAAATAAACACGACCCTCCACACACACACACCCTCGTGTCACTGCAGGTAAGGAGCTGTGGGCGGTAGTGAGCAGCGCCCTGGCTCTGGCCCGACAGAACCCGACACCGTTTGTGTCGGCTGTGAGGATCGTGGAGCGGGAGGAAGCTCTGGACCAGGCTCTGCTGGAGGACAGAAGCACAAATGGGATCAACGGCCGACCTCTGCCCCCTGGACGACCTCGCTGTTGGAGAGTTTGCTTCTTCCAGGTCATGGGACATATTCACCTTTAAACTCCTTTGAATTTTCTACATTTGAAATGCACGACCTTTGACCTTTCAACCTCACGTTCCTGTACTTCTCAGGTACTGGAGGAAGCGGTGTCTGCCAGGTTCCGTAGCGTCTCGTACCTGCACACACGTGGTCCAGGTCTGGCAGGACACCTCTCTGCTTTACAACACGCTACCATGACAGACCTGGAAACAGGGCGCCACCGAGCACTGTGTGCCGCCACACTATCGTCTGACTGGAGCCTATCTGAGGGCCAGTCATCAGTGTTTACACGCCCACCTGGCGCAGGTGAGTGGCGTGAATATCAAAGTCTGTGTAAAAAAAAGAAAAAACAAAAAAACCAAACCACAGGTTAGTCCCATCAGTGTCATCTATACACATGTCAGTGATGTCTGTGGCCTAGGTCAGCAGCTGGGACCTGGAGAGTGGAGAAATCTTTGCCGTGCTCAACTGGGTGCTGCACATCTACAACAGGTGAGGTCAAGGTCAACAGGTGAGGTCGAGGTCAACAGGTGAGGTCAAGTTGCAGAATAAAGTCCTGTTTTACTATAGAAAATAGAATAGAAATTGCTCAAAAATCTATATCTGATTTAGCTGCCGGTTACGTACGTCATCAAAGGTTATCGTTAACATTTGTCCTGATTTTAAACTCACCATTCACCAAACTGACACCATGTTTTATATGCAAGAACTGCTCAGGGACTGAGATTGTGAACTCTTCTTCTTCACGATATCAAATATCCTGGAAAATATTTATTCATGTTATATCATGTTTTTTATAGTTGTAGTTGCCCCCCCCCAGACTGTCATTAACTTCTTTTTGCCACCGATGGAGCTATTATTCAATTATTATTCCCACAAGAGGCAATTAGTCAGACACAGCAGGGTGACAACCACAAACACAAACACAACAACAACAGCAGCAGCATCTGAAACCAGGTTCTTAACAAGTCTTCCTGTACGGACCTGGAGCCGGCCAATCAAATGACTATTAATAATTCTGATCCCTCTTCTTCAGTAATTACACAGTAGTCTAATTGCTCTTACAGTCGTTTCTGTGTGCAGTGCAGACATGATGGGTCAACCAGAGCTGGTTGCTGAGCTGGAGAAAGAAGAGCTGGGACCTCTCATCTCCACCGAGGGCCTGGAGAAGCTGCAGGGGAAATATGTGCAGAGTGTACGGGTAAGTGGAAGACATGATAAGAACAGAAGATTCATTCATGTCTTGGAACTTTTTGACTTACCTCATCTCCACTGACTAGATGTCTCTGACAAAGTGTAGATCTAGGTTCTAATCAGCTGAATTTCTACGTTGCCGTTGCAGAAGAGTGTGTCTGAGTGGATGCACAAAGCCCTACAGGTGGAGCTGCAGGACTGGCAGAGAGACCAGGAACCAGACACAGACCATGAAGGCTTCTACCACACCTGTCTGCCGACCATCATCACACAGGTAGACAGTATGGAACATGAAGCTTAATAAAACACACACACACACACACACTGGCCTCCTTCCGTCCTTTGACTTCACCTACGTTGGCAAAAAAACAAACAAACTGTGGACTCAGAGTGGCAGTCAATATGACAGATTCTCACAGTTCAGGCTCCAAAGTGAGATTTATCCAGTTTAATCTAATGTCTCCGTCTCCGTCCACTCCCCGAAGACACGGTTTGTTATAAGACTCTGCTTATTGTTCCTCTAAATCAAATCCTGGCTCGCTGCTTCAGCTACAAAACCTGGCCTGGATCCTTTGACGGTTTCTGAACGTCAGTGTTTGTGCGGTTGTTGATTGTTAGATGCTGGAGGAGAACGCTCACGTGGCTCTGATGATCGGCCAATCCTTACGAGACCAGACCATTCAGATGGGATTGTATGAGATAGAGAACCTGCGGTGAGCGGCGCTGCGACCTCCTCCCTGTGCTCTCAGCTGCTCATCTTTTAGTGTTAATCTGTCTTTTCTTTTCTTTTCTTTTTTTGACCTGCAGGTTTAGGGAAGCTCTGGTGGAGTTTGGCAAAGAGCATCGCCGGGATCCGAGCAACAGCAAAAGCAAGTTCTACCTCCACTATTTGCTGGCCTCCATCTGTAACTGCATCATCCTCAAGTAAGTCCACTCCAGAACAGTGGGTCAGTCCACCGCGGAGGCCAAACAGAATAGATCATGACGACTTCTGTCTAAATATGAGCCTGAAAATGTGGCCATTTCCATCATAGAATAGAAGTGTGTCATCAGCAAAGCATTACAAAAAAATCTACTACAGTAAATTCTGACATGACTTTATGGAACTCTATCTTCTGTCATGCCCCCCCCTTGGGGACAGAAATGTTTTCACAACCCCCGTCCCTGCCGACCCACACCCCCACGAATTGAAATACTATTAAGAACCTGATAACATGTACACTTTTATCTGTACAAACCACTGTATGAGTTGCTGCCACCTAGTGACTGGAGGCTTGTTATCATTCAAGCAATACAGCAGTGGTACATTTATGTCCAGAGGCCATGGGTCAGTAATTTCCTCTTTTCAGTAGCCCAAAGGACTAGTTGGCTGGTACCAGTCTGAACTGTTGGTATCTGAGTCTGAAAGTACGTATTATGTTGAAAAATGTCCTCATTATCTTTGGATGATGAAGGAAGTCCACAGAGAGCCTGCAGCAGCAGCAGTCGTCCCGCTCTGCAGGACAGTTCTCTCGGACCCCTCCCAACCCTCTGGCAGCCCTGGACCGGGCGGTGAGACGGGCGTGTCGTCTGGTGATGGATCAGCTCATGTTGGAACTCAAGCCGCTCCTCCCGGGCCTGCTGACCCGGACCTGGCTGGTTCAGGGAGACCCCACGCCCAAACTCTGCCTCGTCCTGGAGCGGCATCTGGAACTGTACGGCAGAGTCCGTCCGCCCTGTCAACAGGTCGGGACTACACCGGTGGTTCAGTACCACGGCTGGGGTGCACTCCTGAAAGTTAACACTTTACCTCTGCCCTCCCTGCAGCGTCTGCAGGAGGAGGCTCAGTGGATGATGGTGGTGGAGTACGTCAGAGCTCTGATGCAGAAGAGGCTGGTGTGTCGCAGCGTGGACGACAGGAAGCAGCTCGGCCAGATGATGGTTCAGGATGAGCAGCAGCTGAGAGAAGTCTTCAACAGCACGGTGAGAAAAAAACATCCACAGACGGACGCATCACTGTCCTGTCAAACTGACGTCAGGGGTGTGTGTGTGTGTGTGTGTGTGTGTAGGAGTGTGATGGGTCGGTACCTGAGGTGAACCCTTTAGCCTTACTTCCTGTTCTGGCCGACTTCATCCAGCTCAAAGACCCAAACATGCTGACCCTGGAAGTGTCTGGACTGGCTGCTAAATACCCAGACATCAGGTAAAGAGGCCGTGACCTCTGCCCTTTGACCTCACCACATATACTGCAGCAACTTGATGAAAGGGTTAGTTAAATATATGGTTAGGGGTATTATATGGGCTGTATTGTAGAAATGACATTTTTCTGTTTGGACTTTGTCATTAGGACTCAGCAAAAACAAAAAAATTCAAAATATATTTGCAAAAAAGGAAGTATATTCTAAAATAATCAAATACTTATATACATATATATGCAAATACATATGCAGTATATGTCGATGTATATCATCATATATTTTATCATACACAAATAATACATATATGCATACACATAATATTTATACATATATACTGTATGTATGTATATTCACATATATACAGTAGTGTTGTTTATATAAGAGTAAATGAATTATTTTTGTACAAATACCTACATATTTACTCCTTCCGTCCCTCAGTGAGGAGCATGTGTCCGTACTGATGGACATCCGTGGCGACGTCTCCAGAGACATCAGAGGTTCCGTGCTGGACCTGCTGGAGCAGAGCGCCCCCCCTCTGCCGGCAGGGTACCGACCCATCTTCACTGACATCCTGGTGCCTCACGCCACCATGGCGTTCTGTCTGCCCACCGCCAAGTGTGCGTGACCACAGGAACTCAACTGAACTCAGGCTGGACCTCGCCCCCTGGTGGATCACCGTCACAGTACATGAACTACTGGAAAACACACAAACATATACTGCACATATACAGTGTTCTGCTGCTGACGCGGTTTCTTTCACACACAGAGTACAGTGGTCCCTCGTCTATCACGGGGGTTACGTTCCAGGACGTCACGCGATAGGTGACAAACCGCGAAGTAGAGACGCGATAGTTATTATATTAGTCACGTATATATATTAACCCTTTACGAACCCTTAAGGAGGCATCGTAGAGCGGGAAATATAACAAAAAAAAACATACACAAATCTCGAGTTATTTCTTGCAATACCCTGTATGTTTGTGTTTCAAAATGTCTTTAAATTAATTTTTTTTACAGTTTCTTTTTTTCATTTTAGGCTAGAAAATGCTTATTTTATCACAAAAATATTGCAAATATTGGAAATCTAAAATTTTTATAGACTGCAAAAACCTGCGAAAAATAGAGCGAAAAATCCGCAATACAAGGGTACACTCCGCGATGCACTGAGGGCGCGACAGCCGCAAACTGCAAAAACCTGCGAAAAATCTGCAATACAAGGGTACACTCTGCGATGCACTGAGGGCGCGACAGCCGCACCGCGATACGGCGAGGGACGACTGTACCAACACCGTCTTTAAAACCTCCTCACTTCACCTCCTGTTTCTCAGTTGTCTTTCCGTGTCCATGTCTTTCGCTGCAGGTTCAGGGTCCAGAGAGTTGCTGAAATGTAATTATTTGTTTTTATTTTTTTCATTATTTCACAGATTTAGGCTGGTCCTTGTTTTGGTTATTATATGTATTACGGGTAAAACAGCTCGGTTCCAAGCACTAAACATTGATGACTTTGATGAATCCGGTGATAGAAATATTGGATTGTCATGAAGGGATGTACACTAACATAATATACAGCGCTGTGCAAAAGTAACAAGGCCCAACATTTGGTCCATGACCTGAATGTTTTCTTTAAAAAAAAAAGAAAAGAAAAACAAATCGTCTTCTACAGTTTCATGTTGTTGAGAATGAGCCTCTACATTTGCTTTAAAGATTTTTTAAAAATCCAAATGGGTGGGGGTGCACACCATCACCCCTCTGCACAATACAGAGTATATGTAAAGCTAAAACATACTTCAGCATTGGTGGAAGTAAAGACAGTAAAATCCACTAAAATTCAAGGAGGATTTATTGCTTCAGCGAGAGCACCAGCTGGGCCGCACACCTTACTTTTGTCCACTATATAGTTTGCCATTCATCCAGTTTACGTCTCGTGTGCAGGTGCCTTTGCACAACCTCTTACTTCAAATAGAAATACCTTGGCCCAGCACTGGTCTGAGGGTTCAGCTTAGAAATATAAGCACAAAGAAAAAAAGAATCTGTAGAGTTCAGAAGCACCAGAAATAAAAAACAAAACAAAACAAAAAAAGCAAACTTTTTTGGTTTTAGGATAAAAAAAGAGTAATTTGTTTCACACAGTATTATGTTGAAGTTCTCCAGGCAGCCACTAGTGGAGAAATCCTGAATCCTGACTTTTAACCCACTGAATGTCATAAAACTGTCATACCGCCAACAAATTCCTACTGAAAATCCAACTCACATTCTTTATGATGGTAACTTAATTTGTTAAGTTTTTTTGTGGCGTCGTCTGTGTGTCGTTCATAGACCATAATTAACCTGGATGTGTATTAGCGGTGTTACTAACCACAACTATCCACTAGTGGTTGTTTTGTACAAAACACAGGTGAAGGCGGTTGTGTGACGTACCGTCGTGCAGTGTGTTGTATTTTTCTATTGAGAACTGCAGGGGCTGCTAATTCATTACATAACGTTCTCCCTTAAATCAGTTTTACTGTAAATATATGCTGTTGTTTTTTTTGGTTTTTTTGTTTGTATTTACCTTGTACTATTGTTCAAACTGGGTGTTTCAAAGTGTATCGATGCCAACAATATTTATTGTATTTATGTTTTCCAGGCTCAAAGTTCGATGCCACAGTGTTAATAATCTGTTAATTAAAAGCTTTTACGTGTATAAATACTTTCCTTTTTTTACTTTTTCACGACTGTTTTAAAGTTAACTGCAGTCAAGTGTCTTGTGAACCACATATCATTCTCTGTTGATAACTCTTCCACCTCCACTTTAACTTTAACCTGAACCACTGACACTCATGAATTCACTCTCTAATAACGCTTCTTCTGTTCAGGACGTCCTGATTCCTCCGTCCTCCCATCTGGATGGTCCCCCAGCTTGATGTCATTGTCTAACATGTCCATCCACTTCGCAAAAATGACGGTGCTCAGTCATGAAGGCTCAGGTGAGGCACACCTCCCACCTTTCACTGTCCTCACACACCGGCACCACCCTCATTTACTTCTCTGCCACACCTGACTTCATATGCTATCAGTTAGTCATTAGTCATGTTTTGTTGAACAAAATGCTGATATATTCACAGGAATTGAAGAAAAAAGACACTCGCAAAAAATATTTAACACCTGCCTGTGTTTTGCTAATAACATTTTTAAAAATAATTTTTGGACCTGCAGCACTGTTAAAAATTCAACACCACGACGACCGACAAGTACATTATTTTCTTTAATATTTCAACAGTACAAATTATATCTTAATTATTAAACATGACATGAGAAATACATTGCTTCACATTTCAGAACATCATATTCGTCGAGAACATTCTGGGCCACTGAGAAGTCACCTGAGAGAACATGTTAGAAAACCTATTCAGTGTGATATGGTTACTCTGACACTTTATCCACAACTGGGCTCTGTAGGAGCGACATCACACCCACGAGAACAACACGCCACCTTCATCACTCTCACCAGCTGCATTAGTGGAACAACAGTAAACTGTTACAATGATGACTAGCAAATATCATAGCAAGGACCACTTTACACGAGTCAGTTCATATTTTTTTATGAGGGGAAATTAAAACAGCAAAAATAGTCCACGTTTTACGACACCGTTAGAGCAAGTACAGTCCTACAAAGTGTGCAAATTTCACCGTACGCTCACGAGACGACTTCCAATGAAGGCACCATTCTTTTTTTTTCTCTTTAATGTCCTTTCCACACTCAAACTGAACTGCTGCCTGAACTGTGATGGATTCTCACTGAGGCTGAGCTGAAAGAAAAAAAAACTCAAACAGATATAAACAAATGTAAACAACAGCTCATTTTCTGCATTTGCATGATTTCTTTCTGTCAGAGTTGTGTTGAGTGTAGAGTTGTTTTGTTTTCACCACCATATAGTGTATGTTGTAAACTTATAGAATGACTAAAAACAAGTTTGTATGTGAAAGTAATTTTTAAACTGTAAATTGAGTATTTTAATGAAAAACATTCTAAATAATTTCTGATATAGATACTTTTTTTTAAGCACAAACCAGTGGAGTGCAGGATAAAGTTTCTATAGTGGGTTTCTTTGTTTCACAGATAGCAAGTTTAGATTTTCTCTAAATTTTCTGTTTTTCACTCCAATAACATTTGAAATGGACAAAATGAAAACAATCCTCTCTGGAGCAGGCCGTGGTTAAATGTGTGATTTCTAATATTTGGCATTTTCATTATATTTGCCTTCAAAATTCACCATTTATGTTTTTAAATTTAATTTCAGTTTAAGTCAGTGTTTCGCAAACATTTAAAGCCACAGCACATATTTTCATTGTAAAAATCCCATGGTGCAACACCAAACATGTGTCCCAAAAAGTGTATGGAATTAATTATATCTTATAGATCTTTTTTCAATTACCAACAATTTCCTGTTTTGTAGAACAAAATGCTGATATAGTTGCAGGAATTGAAGAAAGACACTCGTAAAAATCTTAAACACCTCTGGCTCTCTTTTTCTATTTATTTTCTAGTGTTTATAGCCATGTCACCTAGTGGAAGAGTATTTAATTGTTCTGTCTGACACTCAAGGACAAATTATCTGCACTAAATAATAATTTTCACGACACGGCTGAGAGCTTGTGAATCACTGACTTAAACTACCATCTGCTGTAGGCGTCACCAAAAAGTTGTTTGAAAAGGATCACGTCATCAAACTGAAGTTGCATCAGACAAAAACTTGTGAAATCTCATTTTGAGTTTCAAGAGAATGTAAACATGGGAAATGTTAATCTCACAGACATCAAAAACGACTAAAACAAAATTCAAATAAAAAAAGGCAATGATTGCATTGAACAACCCCGTGAGTAGTGCAAAAAAATCCTCTTTGCAGTGTAAAACCTGAATGGCAGTTCAGTGGCACTGACACACCAATACTGAAAATCCACAGAGAAGCACAGACAGCCATCCATCACTGCATAAAACTGGAGTTCAAATTCACAAAGCCACAGTCTGTGCACCACCACAGAGACGTCATCAAACTGTGGCCAGGAACAGGGAGGGAGGAGGGAGGGATGGAGGGGGGCTACAGTTTTCCTCACAGAGGAGAGGTCAGAATGTTCGTCTCCCATCAAGTCATGACCTCAGAGAACATGGAACACATCTTGAAAAAGGTCAAAAAACAACAGAAGACTTGGATAGAAGTTGAACGTGTGTTTGCAAAGTTCCCTCCTAGTGATAGAAGCCAAATAATCAGTGATGATATCCAGTCAGTGGTGATGGATCCAGTGGGTGGAGAGTGTTACACTAGTCTCCTGCTGATCTTCCAAAGTTGCAGCTTTGTTTCTGCAGGGTCAGGAACAAACTTTAAAAACTAACAAATCTGAATCTGGTCATATGGACAATCTCCCACACAGATAACTCTGTCTGGGTGTGTCACTAATCATCATCAAAGTTCAAACATTTCCTTCATAATGGAGAAAAAGAGTTGAAATTCAAACACAAACCAATTTTTCAACATATTTTAGAATATCTGAAAAAGTTACTTCCAGCCAACGTTAACTCGACTTTTTCATCAGAAATATAGCACAACTCTTCTTTTGTTTGTTGTTAGCAAGTACGCTAAATAGATCATCACAGATGTAAACAACTCACGGGTTTTTCCAAAAGCAGCATATTCTGGGCTCAGGAGTTCTACAGAACCAAAAATAATAACCACTCTTCTTCAACATTTATCTCTCTTTAGCAGACCTTATAGGAGAAGCTAACACATTTTTTGCTGTTAGCAAGCAGCATGTTCTGGGCTCAGGAGTAGTGTTTTTACCAACTTTAGCCCCCCCCTGCCTGTCAGTTCTGATCATTTATTTCATCCGAGAGCTTTAGAAGACCCTATAGCAGAAACTAAAAGTTATTTTGCTGTTAGGAAGTAACGTCAGAGTCATCACTGACAAAGAAAACCCAGGCTTTTTAAAAGCAAAATATTCTAGGCTAATGAGTTCCATAGAACCTGCTAATGTGTTAGCAAGCTAAATAGCCATCAATAAAAAGCTCAGGGGTTTTACAGAATCTGTAATAAACACTGTTCTTATTAACTCCCTATCAGTGACTTAGCAGAGACCAGAACAAAATATGTTAATATTTTGCTGCGAGCAGGCAAGTTAAACTGTCAACAACAAAGCATTTTCACAACTTCTCTTGTTTTGGTTAGTTCTACAAAAGCTATAGTTTTTAATCAGACACCCGGCCAAATGTTTCAAAACCAACAACGCTTTCTCACCCTGCTAACCACCACCATGTGTTTTAATTCCAGGTGTGAACCCTGCTGCAGACAGGTCTAATGGACGGTTTCCCACCCTGAACTGGAAGGACATCAATAATCTCCTGAGAGCTTCCATGTAGATTTTCCCCTGATATAAAACACCACCATGACGTCATGGCACAGAAGCAGGACTATATCAAGTATACAGACAACACTACTACACCGTTTACCATGAGGGTGTATACACCACAGTGAAGACCACTGTGTCTAACTGTTCTGTGAGGAGGAAAAACAGAGCATCACTGTGAGGTCACATTTACAGGTTTAGTGAGGAAATACATCAAATATATATGTTCTGTAGCCACTGTACTGGAGTGTGGATGACTGCGTCCAACAGTCAGAATGTACATACATGCCCCGACACCAGAGCATGATGGGAAACCAGGTCAGGTCCATGCCACTTTGCGTGATATGGCCTGTTTGAAACACTCAGGGTTGGTGCTGCCTCCAGGGCGCAGCGCCCTCTCCAGGCTCACCAGCACATTTTGATGACATTCCCTGATATTCACTGGGTACTTGGCCCTCAGCAGCTCGTATGCAGCGATCAACCTCATGTTCTGCTTCACCATCAGGTACTGGATGATACACGTGGGAGCCAGAGAAAACCCGTCCCGACAGTGCACCAGGACTCGCTTCCTCTTCTCAGTGGAGGCATCTATGCACTCGTTGATGTCCTCAAAGCAGCGCTGCTTCAGGGAGGGGCCGTCCCCCAAGGCGTCGGGCACGTCTCCGATGTCCACCTTGAGGCGGGACCAGCTGTGGCGGGTGCCGCGAGAGCAGGTGCAGGGTATGAGGTTGAGACTAGGGCCCGGTTCCCCGGGCATGCTGCTCATGTCGATGATGCTGTCTATGTTATTACGGCACAGGGTGCGCCCGTTGTAAGCAGCATTCAGGTTGCCGACGTAGATGTAGTCTGTGACCTTGGAGATGACCGGTTCGGAGTACTGGAAGTGTTCGGGGCCACTGGGTTTGGGTTCAGGCGTATCAGGGCCTCTGGCTCCTGCTGGCCCCGTAGCAGCTCTCCTGCTGTAGTTACGCAGCTTCTTTGACCCTGAACGTGACGGAGGGTTGGACTCTGACTCAGAGCTACTGTTCCAGGGCGGAGAGAAGAGGGAGAATCGGCTGGAGGACTTGCTCTTATTGAGCATCTCCACTGGACTGGACAGGCCTGAGCTGGACGCCGTCGTGGAAGCTGAGGCGCAGAAGAGAGACGCTCGTTCCAGGGATCCGGTGCTGCTGGCAGCTCCTGCACTGTGGGCCTGCTCCATCTGAAACAACCACACAAGTCTGACGGTGACTCCACTGTTTTGGCCCATGATGTATTTAATTTAAGGATTTGATTCATGTTGAGTTGAGGAAGATGACACAGAAGACAACACTGTGATGTTTTTTTGTACCTGAGCTTTAAGGTTGTTCTTCCACTCCTGTGTTTCCAGAGCTTTGAAGCGCCCACTACTGTCGGAGGAGACCGACACACAGAGTGGACGGTGAGCTCTGGGGGGGAGCTGGGGGGTGAGGGCCACGGGGATGGGCCTAACATCTGTGTGCTCGCTTCTATTCATCATCAGATTTGGACAGGAGCCTGGGACGTGGAGGAAATAAAACAATATTCAATCAAGAACATCGAGCTGCTGAGGCGACAAATGTGTTGGTCACCGGGTTAGAAATGGTCAAAACTGTCCTTGTTAATGCTTTAGTTGCAGCAGTAGGAGGTAGTGTCAGAGGTAACTTGGTTTGCAAAATGGACTGAGGCTAATAGACTATTAGTCCAATTACCTGACATCTTCTTGTGTCATGTTGCATTACATTTGCAATGACATTTTGAGCTAATTGTTAAGACAACATTTGCAGACCTTTAACAACAAAGATACAAATCAGAATACAGTTATGTTTTCTTCAAATCTTGCAACATATTGGAGGAATTCCAAAACATTCCCTGTGCAGCTGTAGACCACAGTAGGAATAACAGGATCCTGCATTAGATTTGTTTTAACGTAGTGTTTTCACCTACCAGCACATTCTGAGCGGGTGATGGACTGAATCTGCAGTGTGTTCTGTGTTCTCAACAGGCTGTGGAGAGTCTTCACTATACCTAAAAATGAGACGTGATTTTTTTTAAATTTAGTAAACTGTTGCAGCAGCCTGATGAGAGGACAACAGCTGGACACTAGCCTTACCGATCCCTCCATTCTGCCTGCGGAGCACTTTTTTATCCAGTGATTTGAGGGCACTCTGGTCTTTGTTCCACTCTTCCTCGGCTTCCATGTTCCGCCTCCTGCAGAGAGAGGCACAAAAACCCGGTACAGGCTACCCGTCATCTTCGGCGACACTCGAGATCCATGTGAAGGACGTGATTTCAGCTGCGGGCGGTGTGAGAGGACTCTGCTGCTAACATCAGCCGCTAACATCAGCCTGCTGGCTCACTGCACGAGCGAGTCATAATGTGGAGTTGCGGTACATCTAACCATCCGTAGTCCGTGCACCGAGTAGGGAAGCCAGGCCGTGACTAAGGGCAGCATGCTCGGCGGAGGATGGAGCAAACATGACGACCGTGGTGGTTAAAATAGCAACAAAAGCTAGCCACCGCTGACGAGCATATTAACCCACTGTTTGCTGCTCCTGCACGGACGTTTACATACCAGCACACGTCATTTACTACAACCATGAATTATGTGTTAAAAGGACAAATGTATGAAGACAACAATTAATGATTCTGAGTAATAAATAACACTCCAGCGCTCCTGCGACCAAACTGATAAACGACACCGCCAGCTGAGCTACGTCATCTCCACGGAGCAGCTCCTTGGGTTATTTAACCCTGCGTAAAGTTTTCGAGGTCTGGAATAAAACTATTCTTTTTATGGCTTACACCAAAATCAATTTCAGTTTATAAGTTATTTTATTGAAACGGTATGTTTTTGTTCGTGTGAGTTGATAACAACGGTGCAGAATTTGTGAGTATATGAAATGAAAAACGACCTGTTAGACTTGACTACGTAAAAAAAAAAACGTTTTTTGAGGTTTACTTGGTTAATACAAAGACGTCTCCCAAAGGGGCGGAACATTGCGGTTTTTGTGTTCATTCCGGTGCAACTACCAATTTGGCAAACTAAAATGAGTTAAACTAACGTCACGCTGATAAGTGAGCCATTCATTTGATCACTAATGCCAAAAGTATCATTGTAAATAATAGAGTTATAATAAATAATAAGAGTTGTCATTATTTCATTCAAACATAGATATTACTTAAAGTCTTACTTTACTAAAACAGACATCACGAAGCTACAGCCTCTTCCAGAGCAGTATGATATGTAAAAACAGTTAACCCTAAAATATAATATCTCTTAACGTTTACGTTATTTACGTTAACCCTATTTTCCGTTTTAGAGAAAGCATTGTGTTCAATCAGAGCCAGGTATGAACTGATAAAACATTACGGAGGGTTTATTTCACCAGATTACAGTGATGGAAATAAACATTTGTAAAGAAAAAATAGAGGAAGTTCCTATAAAGTTCATTCTGGTAACAAATGTCCTGCTTAATACTCACTCCTTGTCCAACATTGTAATTGTTTGTTTTTTGTTTTTTCTCTGCATGTGTCCAAATTATGATTTCATCTTTAGCTCAAATTTAAAAAAATGTTTTTTAAAGTTGAAGCCCTGATTCTGATTTTCTAATTTTAAACCCTTTCCTTCAGGGTCATTCTTTAAAGCAAAAAACAAAAAACAAAAAAACAAACTTTTGTGAGCTTGGATGATCATCAAAAGATATCAGTTTAATACAAATTTTCTTTAAGGTTTAAAAAAAAGTTTCTTTGCGTTAAATAAAGATATAAACTAAAGAACCTTCAATGAAATAATAAAGTTCACTCTTGCATCACATGACCCAGCCTTTCACCTTAGTATTAGATACATCAATAGACTTACCTTGTGTGTTTTAGGTTATGGTTGATGGTTTGTAGCCCAGTGTTTCATCAGAATGAACCAGTCTTTTGCATCTCTATCTGTAAGCAATAATCTGCCTGCTGACGTGGAGCCCGTTTTCCTTCCCCTCTCTGCTTTTTTTTTTGTGTGCTTCTTTTTGTGTTTTAATTGGATGGCCAGGTCTCGCTCCAGGTATCCTGGTAACCCACCAAGCTGCTGATGTCACTGCTCTCCATAATGAAGGGTGAGTGTATCTGACTACCTTTGTCAATAAGCAGGCCGGGAAATTCATTGGAGATAATGCTGACAACAAAGACCACGTCTGCCATGAAGTGATGAGGACACACTCAGCTCCTCTGGGTCCTGAATGATTTCAGTACCTGAGGTGTTCATGTTATGATCATTTAAAACACACCCTAACTCCTGCACTAGATGCCAGAAAAAGGCATATTAAATCGTGATTAAAAGCATTTTACCCAAATTTATGTTTAAATTAATATTATTAATTTGTCATTGTTTCTCCAATTGAATTCATAAAGCCATGTATTAGAAATCACTGAATTACTTGGTTATAGACTACGGTGATGCCAGGCACGTACCAGACAATCTGTTTGCAGTTGTCAAAGTGGCCCATGGTTGTTTGTCTTTCTGATGAAATGGAGCCTGGTGACTGTTGGGATTGATTTCAGCCTTTAATGACCTATAAAAAGGATTGACTTGGACAAAAAGAAGTAAACACCAAACTAGCATCTGAGATAATAAACTATACATATAATAAATTACAAATGTTCAGACTTTTCATTCCAAACCTAGTGAAAGAAACATTTTATTTTGAGCTTTTTTTTCTTTCTAAATGCTAGTTTCATCATTTTTTTGGTCTTTCAACCCACATCAATATCCCTTATATCCCAATTTAACTATGAAATGTAGGGGGTGTTCAGTCGTCGTGGCAGCCACAAAGTTTTTTTTTTTTACCAGTGTAGATTTTCACTTCACATGTCTTATCACTGGAGGACAGTGTTGTTGTTTTTTTTAGCTTAAAGGTACAATGCAAACTGCTGCGTCAGTGTGGAGCTACACAGGTGGGTGGGGCATTTGCATCTCAAAGGGTGTTCTCCAGCTCTTCAGCTCATTGTCCAAGTTTGCTGTCTCCTGTTTAACTCCCAGTAAGGCAGCAAGTGCAAAACAGTACCTGTGGTGGCCTCAGTGCTGATTACATACACCACAAAGGAAGGAAATTTTGATGTTGCCAATGGAAGCATTTAAAAGAACACTTGGGATGCACCTACGTGTTGAGATTAGGTTGTAGTTTTTTCCTTTTAATTGAAAAATATGAACTCTACTTACTAAATAATAAATATGTCAGTATGTCTTAAAAGTCTAAAGGAATACATTTCTTTTAACTTTATTTTTTTGATGTAGTGACCTTACAAAGATGTATAGTTTGATAGAAATATTATCTATACATAAGATAGAAGTGGAGACTTCTATCTTTTACTCATTATTACTCTGCAAACAGATGAAACTGTTTAATAAAATAATCCTTGAAAAATGACTTAGGTTGTTGTCATACCATCTTTAACCAAAAGATGGAGCCAACCACATCACTCTCAACCTGAACTACCAAGACGCCGCAAAAAGACAAACAATATAATGTTGTTCATCTGACTTTGTTGAAGTCCATTTTATTTAAACCCCAACAATTTGGACCATACACTTTTTGGTAAAGTCATATTGAATACATAGAGTGAAAGACAGATTCTGGTGAGCCACATGGATGTCGATATATAGATGGACTTTTGCTGATAAAGAAAAAAAAAACATATAAACAATACTTTGAGTCGAGTTAATGCCACTCAGGATAACAGCAAAAATAATTAAAAAAATACATTTTCTTTATATAGAACTGAAATATAAACAATAATAATAATATCACACAATGTACCTTCAATTTGAAGTTTTAAAAACCAATTTATGACGTCACCTCACAGCCGGCGGCTAGGAGTGGGCGTGGTTTGCTGACGCATTGCGGTTTCCACCCCGGTGCGTGAACAAGCGACGCGGCGTAACGCACGCGCGTCGGTGTGTTTCCAGTCCGCGTGTTTATCTGTGTGTATACGCGTGTGTGTGTTTGTGTGTGCGGTGTGTCACTAGCAGCAGCAGCAGCGGCGGCGGACGGTCACAGCAACTCTGTCAGGGAGCTGGAGCATCCGGGCCAGGCTGCACAGAGATGCGGCGCATGTAGAGCTCGGCGTGCGGACTGGACACACACCGCTGCACCTCACCGCTGCTACCATGGTTTACACACCGCTGAAAACCTTCACTGGACGCGTTTGTTTTCAAATGGCGGCGCTTAAAACGCGGAGGTGAGCGGCTCCTTTGCTGGAGAGGAGTGCGCACTTGTTTTTTTTTTTTTTTACCTTCTCTGATATTCCCTGTTTTGCCTCAGGCAGAGCAGCCAACGCTAATTAATCCGTTTTTTTTGGAGTCCTTTTTTAAAACTGCATGACGAACCATGACGTCTGGACAGGACGAAAGCTCAGTCCGTGTGGCACTGAGGTAAGTCACCAAAATAATCTCTAATGTCCTCCTTTGGTGCCAAATGCGCTTCTGTTGTTAAATTCCCCGGTGCCACCTGTCAGTCAGAGCTGAGGGCCTGCCACAAAACCCATCAGTCAACAGCAGCATCTGCTGAAACACACAGGTTTGCGCAGCTGTGCCTGTTAGAACCCTGAAACGATGTGCTCGTCTGGAAAAACCAATTATTCCTTATCTCTAACATCATTATGAACAACTTAATGACTCGCCCTAAAGCACAATTCACACGCACATTCTCACCGTAGCCAAGCCCTAACTGACGAACGCCTACGTCATCAGGACCCAGGTTTTGGTCCCCACTGAAGATTCCTGGTCCTAACAAGGTCACCGTCGGGACCTAAAAAAGGACCGAGTTACACGGCTAACATAAATACATGCTCGTATGCACACTTAGGATGTATTATTAATAAATCCTAAGACATCATCGGGCTCTTTTAGCAGCACACTGACCCAGATCTAACCGTGAGCGCCTTCTCTTGTTTTAGGAGCTTTAACTCACACACTTTCCGTCAGTTTTTTTTTTGCAAAAAAATTAAAAAAAATGCAGTTTTTCTTGAATGCACCTCCTATGTTCTGACACAATATATGCAAAAATAAAATAAATAAATCAGTGCACAGGTGCATGCCCCATTTTCACAACAGCCGTTTATTGGCAAAGGACTCATTAGATTCCAACCTGCTGGGCATTTAGGAAGAAAGACAGGGCGATGGACTGTTTTATCTTCCAGAGCCTGGTCTCCCTCCTCAAAGCCTCCTGCCTGCAGGGAGGCAGTCAATCGATGAAAGAAGAGCTTTACTGACAGACGTGGAGGCAGCGTTGTGTCCAGTGCAGCTCCTGTGTCTGTTCTGAGTGTTTCCTTTGTATCCAGGACAGCACAGTCATTGTTTTCCTCTTTTTCTTTTCTTCTCTTTTCTTTTAACGAATCAGACTTTCTGTCTGTTCACTCCTACGTCTTTTGTGTGGACGTGGGCCGCGGTCACCCACCTGGTGAGGTGGCACAGAGACGGTGGCAGGAGGCCAAAGCCATATGTGTGCATCTCTCTGTGAGAGACAAATTGAGGCGATTGTTCCACTCTTAATGCCTCCTCACAGGGTGTGAAGGAGATGTATACCCCCCCGCTCTTGCCCCCCCACAGCTTCTCTTTTCCATTTCCCATCTGAGGGAAAACCCAACACTTTGATTGTGCTTGAAGATCAGTTGTCATGTACAGTTGGAGCGCTGATGTTGAATGTTGGTATTAGGAAGGCTGCCAAACACTCAGTCATTTTATAGCCTAATATTATAGGGGACATAAATCACTGAACCAAATGTCAGATGTCAGTGATGGTTGTAGTGTTTACCTTTGTCACGTTTGACTGTGAGCCAAGAGATTACTAATTGGAGCACCGCCCCCACTACCCCCCAGGGATGTTATTCATGCTGCTCAAATACCCCTAGTGGTTACATACGTAGTGTAGTGATTATCACGCCTGCCTTACACGCATAAGGGTTTTGGGTTTGAGCCCTAACCCTAACCATATACTTAAAGGTGCGTCCCCTCTCTATGGCAGCCCGTGAGTTGCAATCACACACTCAATGGCACCTCCTGTGGCAGGAGTTGCAACGACCCACACTTAAGAGGGTCACAATTAATGAATTAATGCACAATAAATTAAGTAAAAATGCAGAAGATTGGGCATAAAAAAATCATAATGGATTGAATTAGCTACACTTCAGCGCTGTGACCAGTACGATCCAGTACCTGGGTGTGTGAGTTCCCTTTCTCTCCAGCAGGGTCTGCATCTCTGCCTGGTCTCTCCACCAATGTAACATGTAGTTCTTTTCATTTTATAATTTATGGGTTTTTTTCAAAAATAAACAGGTTGTTGTTTGTTGTTAGAGCAAATTGCAAAAAAAACATCTGGCGTTCCACTGGCTGTATGTGTCGTGAGTCCAAACTGCAGCAGAAGTGCATGCAGCGTTTATGCAGGGAGACGTGAATATTATGTGCCCTGGCTCCAGGAACCAAGATTATAGAGCTGGATTTAGCACACGGCGCTTCACTTTGTCATTTGTAGAAAGGCCTTTGTGGAAACATAGTCAGAAAATCCACAGTAAATCCCTGAGTGAAATGCATGGGGTAATTTAGAGCTTAAGACCACGACTCCTGATCTCCCTTTTATTGAATCATTTCAGGACAATGGCTGTACAAACCAGTGGGGTAATTACCAGGCGGAGGTTCACACCTCGACACCCAGCCCGTAAGATGAGTGGTGCAGTGGCATGTTTTAACTGCTATCAACTGGCAGAATAGTTTGTCCAAGCTTTTGACAAGTCTCACCGTGCACGTGTGCAGCTGCTGGGAGTGGGCGTGACGGCGTGTGCTCTCTGCAGCTTCAAAGACACACGGTTCCAACTAGTTCCCAGATATCTGGGCATGATGAGACTCAATGTATTCCTAAAGAGGGTTAGTAATACAATTATGAAAATGAAAGGTGTAACAACCAGTACAAGAGGTGTGGCCCTTTTGTTTGTTACGTATCTCGGTTTTGACATCACGGTTTGGTACTTTTCTTTTGGTACAAAATTTGGAAATAAATAACATTTCATTTATTAACAACCTATAAAATGGTTCAACTTGAGCTTGCGGCAAATATTTAGGTTCTTGAATAAATAAAAAAAATGGTTTGAAAGAGAAACGCTGTTTGGTGTTTTATGTTGCATTGCATTTGTAACAATATTTTGAGCATCTTCTGAAAATTAGATTTTTGAGGTTTTTGTTTATTTATTTTTTTACAGCTGCCTTTGCGAGTGTGAATTTATTTTTTTAGAATTCATAACGGCAGTACTTGTGGACATCCGACGCCAGCGTGATGTGTTGGAATCTGTCGGCGTCAGTACAAGACGTGTGGCCCTTTTGTTTGTTACGTATCTTGGTTTTGACATCGCGGTTTGGTACTTTTCTTTTGGTACAAAATTTGGAAATAAATAACATTTCATTTATTAACAACCTATAAAATGGTTCAACTTGAGCTTGCGGCAAATATTTAGGTTCTTGAATAAATAAAAAAATGGTTTGAAAGAGAAACGCTGTTTGGTGTTTTATGTTGCATTGCATTTGTAACAATATTTTGAGCATCTTCTGAAAATTAGACTTTTGAGGTTTTTGTTTACTTATTTTTTTACAGCTGCCTTTGCGAGTGTGAATTTATTTTTTTAGAATTCATAACGGCAGTACTTGTGGACATCCGACGCCAGCGTGATGTGTTGGAATCTGTCGGCGTCTTTAATGACCTCTGAGAGGCTCTGCTGAGCAAATGTTAAATTGGTTGGAGGCAGCAGCTTATCTCCACAGAGGCTGACCCAAACCTGTCCTTTTAAACCTGCACAAAGGAACACAACGTTCAGAGCTCTTGCTTCATGTGCATTTGCTCGGACAACATTATTTTTCTCTCTTTCTTTTTCTTTAACGGTACTTTAAGAAAAGAAAAATACTTGCTGCACCTCCTTAGCTTCAGTAAGTATATCATACTGTACTTAGCTTGTTTGCTCACTGCAGGACGCCATAATGGCTGCTCTTAAGTGGTGGGTGTATATGTTGAGGGAAGGGCCTAGGTGGATCTGAGGACTGGCTGAACCTGCCTGCTGAGCCGCTGCAGTACAGCAAACATTGAAGAATTATCAAGAGAGGATTAAGCTACAGTACAACACAGGTGGCTGTTCGGCTGCCTCGTAACGAGGGTTTACCATCTGATCAGATCAGCCTAGGATCTTAAGGTTGTGTTACAGGCATACCTTCGGTTATTTGCTCAAAGGCACGCAGCAAATGTCTAAGTCTCTTAACGTGAGCCCTGCTTGTGGCTTATTAGCAAAGTGTAGAGTCAGGGTTAACTCAGGAAGGAAAATCTTGTTAAAGTGGGCCACCAGATTAGACTTCATCTACACTGCACTGACAAATGAGCAGCCACGGGTCCGTGTAGCTGACCGGAGGCAGCAACAAACAATGGCTGCAGGAGTTTACATTGAAAACAGACTGGACCTGGACTGAGAAAACACGAGATTAAAAACAGAGGTTCACGACGTGGAAGAAATAACAGGCTTTTTTTTTTTCTTCTACAAAAGAATACTGATTTATTTGAAAAAGTACTAAAACACGGCCAAGATAAGTAGTACTAGACTGGTACTGGAAACAACAATCTGAGACGAGTGTGAGGATCAGCCGTGGCGTCACCATCGAAACACAGAAGCCCCGGTGGATCGTAAAATCCCCCCAGACCTTCTCCTTTGTTCATATCCACTGACCCGGCTCGGTGTGTTTGGAGTCCTGTGAATCCCATCGTGTTTTATTCTGCCTTCCTGTTTATAATACGATGCTGTCGATATTCCTTGAAGCCGTAAAGTTCTTAGGCAGATGTTGTCATTAAAAGGTGTCAGTTTTTAATAACTAAAACAAGTTCAGACACGTCTGTTCACAACTTTTTTTCATTATCTACTTATAACAAGAGTTTAATTGTGATGGGTTTAATGTGATCAGGTTTTTGAAACCCTCACAAATGAATGACAAAAACCGGTCCACATGAACAGAGCATGAACAAGGATTCTGTGTATTTATTGAGACCCATAAATGAGACAGAACTTTCCAGTTTATTTCTTAACCTTATTCTGATCATTTATAGATGTGGAGAATAACCAGACGTCTCTGTAATGTCATAAACACTTGAAAGAAGGTGAAGTCTTGTGTCCTGTAGACCTGGAGTGTCATTATATAACTGAAAAGATCAACATGAGTAACAGTGACCTCATTCACAAACAGACAGCACAGTAGCTCAGTGACTAATGACCTCGTGTCTCCTCCCTTTATTTACCAGACCTTTGAAACGTTCACTCTGATGGTTGTGACTGAAATGACTTTTATAAATCTGAACTTGACAAGTCATTGACTTGTTATGACAATCCCTACTCATGTCACACTGTTGTATC